CCAGTGACAGATGAACCACAGTACCGACCATAGGATATCAAAAGAACCATAAACCCAGAGTAGTTGTTACCAAAGCGACAGGAACCTAGTGACATATGGTAGGAGGAACTGGCACAAATCAGAGGCAGCAGGCCAGAGCACTCCTCTCCTCATTCCTCCCACAGATGACAAACTGGAGCAGCAGCACTCACTGTTTACTCGATACAAGGACCCCTGCCGCCTGGGACCTGGGGAGGAGAAGCCGTGGGCCATTGGTAAGCAGGGGGCTGGGCTCACCATGGGCTTCCCAAGAAGAGGCCACCAGAACCTGATCCTTGATGAAGGAAGGGGACATGCCCTAGGCAGCTGTCTAGAGGCACCCAAAGTCCTTGTGTCTCCCTAATCTCTCCATGGGGTCCACTTGAGGCTGGCTGGACCCTACTTCAGTAACCACTCTCTTTTTGTCCCCAGGTACCCTGCTGGACATAAACGGTCTCTATGATGAGGATGTGTGTACCCCTGACAATCTTCAAAAGTAAGTGCCCACACTGCTGCAGGGTCCCCTGGTCCTAATAAGCTCTCAAGTCTTCAGGGGGTATAGACCCCCTAGTAGGTTGTAGAGATGGGGGCTGGGCAGGTTCCAGCAGGAACAGCTCACTCAAACCACTAAGAACTTTGGGATATCAGGAAACTCTTACATGGGAGAGAAGACAGATGGAGTCTGGAAGAAGAGACAAATCCCAAGCCAGCAGTCAGGATCTAGGCTCCCATTGCAAAAGGCTCTAGTTAAGTATGGCTCATACAGGAAAAGAAGCCAGAGTTTCCAGGATCAGGTCAAGAGTGAAGCCCTAGAGAGCTGCTGGGTAAGAGGTCTGTGGAAGAGAAGAAAGCCCATGACCTCTACCAACCAATTAGATAGAAGATGAGAGAACGCAGGCTGTCTTGAAAGGCAGTTCTGCCCTGGCCCAGCCTCATCCTTGAACCCAGTGAGGGTTCCATAAAGGGCATGGTGGAAAGGCCAATAGCAGAATGGATTTATAATTCACAGCCTGAGACTGCACAGAGCCATTGCCATGGCTCCTTGCAGCTAATTTGAGCCAATTAATTAGATTATAGACTAAATTTGAAACATCACCCTATGCAGAGAAAATTATCTTTTCATGAGATGATTAAAAAATGACTATCAGTACCTCTCAGATCATTGATGCTAGAATTAATTATCAAAGCAAAAGACAGTAATGGATTATATCTTTGAGCTGTTAACAATGCTCTGAATGTCATTAGTGTATTTATCTTAAGGCTGATAAAAAACCTGTAGAAAGCCATGTTTGCCATCCTAGTCTCTCCAGACTCTAACTCTATCCAGTGTTAACCACCTGGAGGCCTGGGCAGTCTCCCATGCCAGCAACAGGCCTGAGCCTGCTCTTGGTAATTTGGGAGGGGTGGTCTATGGGGTTCCTCAGCCCCAGGGTTGCTTGGGCTATCGGGAAAGGCTAGCAGGAACTGTGTTGGACATGTAAGTACCCATGAGTCTCCTGGGATGACTCTGAGAAATAGGACAACAGCCCATTCCCCCAAGGCAGGGTCACAGCAACTACTCATTTTACAAAGGAAACAGCGCTCACGGGTTTGGTGATAAGCTGGGTCTCATCATCGCTTAAGGACAGACCCATAAAATAACTGAGACCTCCAATGTAGCCCTTTTTTGGTTCCCTTAGCCTGGCCAATCATAAATAGTGATTGGACTTCTAGGTCCTGAGGCTCAAACAGGCTCCTACTGATTCAGAAGCAAAGAAGGGATCAGGAGAGGTGTATCCCCAACATGGCCACATCCAGGAATGTCATGACCAGCATCAGGATAGAAAGGGAAGTGGGAACTTGGTTAGCCCAAGGTGGAGACAGCCTGTGACAGGTGGCAGAGGGCCTCTGCTGACTAGGGACCCCTCTTTATGGTGAGGCCCTTTGTGGAGCCACAGGACAGCTGGATCTTAGACTTAAAGGTTTGGTCTCCCCTTCCCCTCTTACATTGTATAGTATGGCTCCATAGGCCAGGGCTGGCCTAACACTTCACCTTGTTTCCTTTCGGCCTGACAGGGTCTTGGAGAGTGAGGAAGGCCGAAGGGAGTATCTGGCCTTTCCTACCAGCAAGAGCCCAGGGGCTGGGCAGAAGGGGCGGAAGGACCTGCTGAAGGGCAATGGCCGACGCATTGACTACATGCTGCACGCTGAGGAGGGGCTGTGCCCCGACTGGAAGGCTGTGAGTCTGAGGCTGGGCCCTGTAGCCCTGTATAGTACTTTGAACCCATCCCTCAGTCCTTGCTCCCTTCAAATGAAAGCCATCATTTTCATAGCCTGAGAGCCTCCAGATACCCTCTGTACAACCCTAGCCCAGTTGGCCCCACATCTAGAAACCCCCCACCCCAGGCTGTCATTTCCTCCCCAAAACTTCACTTTATAGAACATCCTTTCTCTGGATCTAAACAGAATGTTTTCCACCCTTTCCCCCAACCTAGGAGGTAGAAGAATTCAGTTTTATCACCCAGCTATCCGGCCTGACCGACCACCTCCCTGTGGCCATGCGGCTGATGGTATCTGCAGGGGAAGAGGAGGCATAAACCAGCCATGCCACTGGCATCTCAAGAAGTGGGGCCTCTGTCAGCCCTTCAAGCCACAGCCCATGCCTGGGCTATGTCCCCTCCATTGAGCACCTAGTGCTGGGGGAAGGAGGGCAGGGGACAGGGAAGAGCCTGTCAGTCCCCTGGGAGCCTGGGAGCCAGGCTGCTCTGTGCCTCTGGGCCATCTCTAAGAACAGAGGACTCAGGCCAGTCTGGGAGCCCCTGGCTGCCTAACCAGTGCCATTCTTTCCAATCATGATTTTCTACAGATCTACACAGCACAACATAGTTTGTAACCCAAGGGTTAGTATGAGGACTGGGTTTGTGTACTCTTTGTATCTCTTCTCAAGCTTTGTCCAGGGTTCATTACTTTTGTCTGCTGCCAATGTTGTCTCGCATGCCTGCACCCTCGCACGCACGCTGCCCGCATGCCATGTGCCACACTGTAGCACCCAGACCCCTTGCTCGGGCCTCACCCAAGGCCAAACTCCAAACACAATCAGAAACAGCCAAAGAAGCACTTCCAGGGCACAGCTGCCAGCTCTCCACCTCCAGCTTGGTGGGGACGTGAAGGCTGTCATTACCTGCCAGCCCAGGGCTCTTCCCAGGGTCTTGCATTCAAGGGCGATTACATTTTAAAAAGAAAACAGAAAATGTAAACACAAAATCACTCTTCACTTAGGGTCTGTAAGTCACTGGGTAGAACTGTGCTCTTCCCCAGCCCACACAGCAGGGTCCAGCTGCCTCTGGCCACCCCAGCAGCACCTGGAGGAAACTGACATCAGCTGTGGGGCCATAACAGGACACCCAAGAGGGCGTCACTTTTTTTTTTTTTTTTTTTTTTTTTTTTTTTACAAAGGGGACTCAGAACATAAAGGGGGGAGGGTTGATTTTGAAAATGACAGGTTTGTAGCTTCTTCTTTTCAAGCCAACACGTCCTCTTCTACAGGCCCCTTGGGTTCAACCTTTTCCTGAGGACTTCCCTCATCCAAGTGTGGCTGAGCTCAGGAACCACTTGCCTGCCCCCCAAGTTGGGCTGCAGCTCTGGCCTCCCAGGCCCACTCTCCCTCAGTAGCTGCTCCAGCCAATGCCATGTCTAGGAGAGTACCCTGGATGGGATGGCAGGAAACCAAGATGTAGAGAATGGCTTCTTTACCTGTTAAGCTCAGGTGGCCAGCCACCAGTCACTGCTTGTCAGGGCAGGGGTGATTCCAGGCAGCATCCCGAAGGCCACTCTTGCCACTATGGGACCAGAGCCAGCCCAAGCTCAGCATAGTAAGGCTTCTAGAAGCCCACTGTTCTCCACCTGCTCCTGCTCAGTTGCCCAAGTCAGCACTGACTGCCCACCTACCTTCAGGGAGCAGAGGTTGATCCCTGACTACAAAGGGAAGAAGACTGACTCAGGGTACTGAGTTCCAATTTGAAGGATGGTTTTTGACAACCCCATTGGTCTCTTCAAAGTGCCCTATCTGTGTCCAGCCCGGCTCAAGGCCAACTCCACCTGGTGAGAATGGAGGAAGCATCAGGCCCCTGCTATTAGGACCTCTAAATGCTGGTGCCCTGAAGCTGTGCCTTGCCACCCATTAAGTAGCAAAGAGATCAAGAAGAGGAGCACACATCTAACAAGATGCCAGGCCCTGTGCTGGGGGTGGTCCCTCACTGCACAGGCAGCTTGGCATTAGGGTGTGTATAGCTGGTGATAGCGGTCTGTCCCAACCTTTTGGCCCGGAGAGTCCTGGCCCCATGCTCCAGTGTCCAGAGTTAGGGCAGCCTTGCAGGGTTCTACGCTGTGCCCTTCCCCTGTCAGGGCCTGGCCTCCCCAGGTATCTGGGAAGGCCTCCTGGAATGAAAGGTCCCATTCCTGGAAACAACCAGGATTCTGTTCATGCAGGGTACCACTGGGCAAGCCCAATCCCTATACCAATGGCACTGTGTCTAAGGAGAGTAAATGAAGCCAAGGGCAGGGTCCCTAAACCTGGGTTAGGGTGACATGTTTGGAGTCAGAGCCACATGCTTCTCTTCCTTCCCAACTCCCAGGGCGGCCTTAGGCAAGTGGTACTGCCCTGTGCCTCTGTCACCTTCTGTTACTACAAGGTCACCTCCACACAGACAGGTTCTGGAGTCCAGAGGAAGGACAGCCTGCCTTCCAGAGCCCCTACACATCTTTCAGCACTGAGGCCATGACCATCTGCCACACATTTCATTGTGGTTTGCCTATGGACTCAGGACTTGTGTACTGCCAGGCCTTTCTATTTCAACTTTTAAAAAAGACAAGACATTGCCAGGATTTCAGATTCTGTGACAACTATGACCTAGACAGGGGCAATCACAGGGGTCACTTGAATCCCAACTGCAGCTCTGCCTGCCCAGGACCCCTCAAGGGAAGCACTAGGTAAGTGTGTTAGCTTAGGAAGGACCATTCATTCATCTTTATTTGTCCAAAATCACCTGAGTTTTAAGAATGAATATTAACCTTGATGCTTTTTAACTATTGTATTAACTTGCTCAGATTTAGAAATACTGTTTTAAAAGAAAAAGAAGAAACTTTTTAATTTCTGTATTGTATCCTCATGGGACATTAGGGGTTTTATATGGTAAGATACCTAAGGTTTTGGTAAAACATTATCAAATATATATCCAGACGATTCTTCCCAAGAAGAAAAACAATCTTTATGCCTGATTAAAAAACAATGTTGAAAGAGGTGGATTTTTCCTTTATGGTGCTGAAAGGAAGGATGAAGAATGACGAGAAAATAAAACTGTGAGGCTCAAGGCTGGCATTCTGGTTCTGTACTTATTTGCTCGACAAACTGTGAAGGGCCAATGGATTTCCAGAGTCCATACCAGCCTCGGGGCTTTGGGGGTTGGTGACCATGGGGACACAGTCCACGTCTGCCCTGAAATGCTAAGGATTTAGCCACCTAGGTTCCACTAGGTTCTCCTCAAATCCTTTCGAACTGAGATGTCATTAGCAAGAGTATGGGAGAGAGGAGAGAGGTGGGACAAGGCTGTGACCAGCTGGGGAATCTTTGCACTTTCTGCTGCAGCAAGGATAAGCCATCAGAGCAAGGGCCTTCAGACAGGAGACGGATACTCTCCCAAGTTTCCTTTCCAGTGGTTTCCCACAGGGAACTGCTTGAGGATGGTCTCTTCCCTGGCCCGTGAGCAGCACCCTGGTGTCCAAGTCTCATAGCTTATCAGACACTGAGGCGAGATACCCAAATGTTTATAAATGTGGCCTCTAACCCCTAGAAGGCCATTCTCTAAGCAGAGACCTGGAGATTCCTAGAGAGCGAAAGGCTGGGTAGGTTCCAGCTAAGTGGGCAGTCCTACCTTAGTCCCAGAGAAGGTTGTTCCTCAGTTCTCCTCCAGGTAGGACAGGAAGCATTCCTATACCAGAGCTTTCTGAACTCTCAGAACCACAAGCCATTCTCCCTGGTTGCTTCAGAACTCTTAAATCAGTCACCAGCCTATGCTGTCTGCCACACCTGATGCTGCAAGCCAGAAGCACTAAGGCACAAACATAAGAGGTCTCCGCTGTGCAGATGCCAAGTAGGTGCATGCAAAGACGTAAGTTCTTAGCCTTCCTTCCCCAATGAGCCCCAAGCCATTCAGTCTGAAGCCTACTGGCCATTTAATTTCTCAACAAGGGAAGATTAGTTCAAGGTGTCTGCAAGCCTAAACTCCATGGTGATGTCTCCAGTGAGGGGATGAAACTCCACAGCATAGCTGACTGACTGAGGGCCATCCAGAGGCACTCTGGGATCCACTGTGGTGCTGAGGAAGTACACAGCTTGCTTGCAGTGGGGGTTCCAGCAGCAGTCCCCCTGCAGGATGAGTAGCAAAAGGATGAGAATTGTCCCTGGCACTCAAGCCACCTTTCCAGCCCATGTAACTAACAGTGGGAAGTAACCTGGGTCATCTGGGAGTTAGCCGACCTGAAGGGCACAGAACAGGGATATTCGGAGCACAAGGAGAGGTATAAGTGGCTTTAGGGCAGGCACACACTTCTGGGCCTGGTGCCCACAGTACTACCTTGTCTTCCAAAGGGTTCATGAGGCCGGTGCTGACTGTGCTGCCTGGAGTCAGATGATATTCCATCCACAGGACAGCTCCATGGCTCTTCCCAGGTCTGGGGAGTATAGACCCACACAGTCACACTGACACAGATGAGTCCAACCAACACATCCTTCTGCTTTCCTGAAACCTCTACCACTCCCATCCCTCCCAGTTAGGAGTCTGTGTACTCCTCACCCATGTAGGTAAAGCCTAGACAGAAAAGGTTGAGCCGGAGCAACTCCACACTCCTCACAGCCCGAGCACGGAAACCTCTGAGCACAGCTGTTCCCAGGGTCTGACAACGAAGATTCCCTGGGCAGTGGCATCTGCCCTGCCCTTGCTGCTTGTCCCTGGTGTAAAAAGCTTCCAGAGCTCTGGGCATATGGCTCCCCTTTGGTAGGAGGCAACACTCTTACTGTAAATTGAGCTGGAGCTGGGTGGGGTCTCCCACATCTTGCAGCAAGTGACCCTCACCAATCCTGACCTGCTTTAACTCCCAAGAGAATTCAGGAAAATGGGCCAGTGGGTAACCATAGTAACCGATGTTTGTCTGCAGCTTGATACAATAAGGAGCCCACAGGTAGGGAGGTAAGCAAGACCCCCTCTAGTTCTCCTTCCCCAGCACATGTCCAGAGGCTGTGGGACCCTCCATAATGCAAAGGAGGGGCCGGATGGAAGGACACATCCTGGACCAAGAATAAGAATCTCCAGGCTGTTTGTCCTCCACAACTGTGTGGTTAGTCAAGTCCCTCTATTGTCTTCACCCCACAACTTGCTGCAGCTTCCACTCACCTTCTCAGTTCCATGGACCCCTCAGCACGCACAGGCTGCTGGGGCACAGGCTGCTGGAAATCAAAGGTCAGAATCTGCTGAGGCTCAGAGAGGCTACGGCAGGGGTACTCCCCACAATGGGTGGGGCTCTGCCTCTCTGCTCTCTCGAAAATCCAGGGAGTGCTAGAGGAGAAGAGGACAGACCTGAAGTCAGCCAGGGTCACCCTCATTTCTGTGGTCCAGTACTCCTGTGAAACTGGAGCACCAAGTTGTCACAACACTGGGCACTTGGTCATAACAACCAGCTTCTCCCTTCCCTGTCCATCCATTAGAAGGCCACTTCACCTCCCTAAGCCCTAGCCTCCTGTTTAAACAGGGATGACAATGCCTACTCTTGACCTATTCTGAGGACCAAATGTCTTTGCTGGGGAAGCACAAAAAAAAAAAAGGTAGGCATTCATTCACCTCTCACCAATACTGCCCACTGAAGGGCTCTAGCAGGCCCCAGCACACACAGCTGAGCACAGCACACACAGCTCTGGCAGGCCTTGACCTTCTCCCATACCCTCTGCTTTGCTAAACTGTTAGGTAACATTCCTAAAGCCAGCCACCAAGGTCTATTCCCTTATCTGGCCACTTTCTCCTCCTGAGACTGACCACCAAGGTCTAGCTATCAAAGTACTGAAATCCAGCAATCAAAAGTGCCCCTTTGGCTGCCCTAATGAACATGCCCAATCAAAACAAACCAGCTCATTGTAGCATGGGTTTCCCTTTTCTTCCTTTATAAACTGTCATTTGCCTAGGGGCCCCATCTTTGTCCCTCCAGAGCAAATATCCCTTCCCCCTCTCCCCTGTCTCCATCTTATATCTTATTCCCTGCCCTTTGTCCCTCTGAGACAAATAAATCTCCTTTGTGCTCAGAACATGGTCCTGGTGATTCCAGTCCTTTTCACCCACTACCATGATACCACCCTAATGGGCGAGAATGGACATGTAAATAAGCAAGTGCAGTTCTGGGAAAAGCACGGTAAAATGTGAGAACAGGCTGTGTGGGCAGAAGCGGGACAGAGAAGCTGCCCGGAGATTACTTTAGGCAGAAGACAAGAGTCAATCAGGAAGGAGAAGCAGTGGCCACACAGGGGGCTTCAAGAGGTGGGGTACAGCCTTCCGTGCAGGAGGATGGAGCCCCGTAAAATGTACATTTCCTTAGAGGAAGGCTGAGGTGGGAGAGGTAGGAAGCCATAGACCAGTGTGTTTCTGACAAGGTTGGCAACAGAAATCTGAAATGGAGATGGGCAGGGGCTGCAAGGGGAAGCACAACTGACAGGTGCCAGTCTAGACAGTGGACAGACAGAGTGCTGGGGAAGCAGGGAGGCTCACAGGGCCTGCCTGACAAGGCCCAGCAGAGCTGTCTGCCTCTATACAATAGCTCTCTCCTCCTGCCTCTGCCTCCAGAGTGTTGGGACTAAAGCCAGGACTACCATGTCCTACAACTATCTTCTTCAAGATTTATTTCTAATAGTTTAAATTGTATGTGTGTTGGGGGAGGGGTTCACATAGCTGTGTGTGAATGCCCACAGAGGCCAGAGGTGTTAGATTCCCCTGGAACTAGAGTTACTGCCAGCTGTGAACCATCTAACATGGGTGCCAGGACCTGAGTTAGGGTTCTCTAGAAGAGCAGTACTTGCACTCGAAACTGAACCAGCTCTCCACTCAGGAGAAACAGGCCCATTAGCCAGGCAGTAGCCAGGCAATGCAGGGTCAGGAATAAGGGTTGAAGGAGACCAAAGACATGATACCTCAGAGGATGGCAGAGTGAGAGGAGGCCAATACTAAGCCAGATAAGTGGCCAGATGTGGCGGGGGACCCAGAGCAATGTCTCAACACAAAAACATCTAGGAGCATTAATCAGTAGTCTGCTGCAGAGAAGGCAAGACACAAACGGAAAACACCCATGAGGGGGTGATTTTAAAAATGTGAAGAAGAAGGAAAAAAAAAAAAAAAAAAAAAAAAGCAGCCCACATTGACATAGAAAAATGTAATCTGGAAGATAAACAAAAAAGGAGAAAGATCTCTAGTTACAAGCTATGAGTTCCACTCTCTTTTCTCTGTGTGAATATGAATTTTCAAGCATAAAAATGGGCTAGTGTTTCCACCCTCATCTTGTGAGCTCACCCTGTGATGTGACTTTTCAACTCAATCCCTGCAAAGGCACATACCACTGTTGCTGTCATGACATGTTTCCAGGGGACATGGGCCTGTGGGTCACTCACTCTAGTTGAACATTCAGGGAACTGGCAACATCTATTACATAAACGCGCAGAGACCTCCTTATAACTCCCTCTAACACTCTTCTCTAGAGCACAGCACCCAAGATGAAAATGGCTGCCACAGAAAGTGATCAGTCAGTCACTCTGTGGAAAGGCTGTCCTAACAGAAAACAATTTCTCAGCACTAGCAAGGTAGAGCCAGCACACGGTCCCATGACATTCAAGCCCTAACTGGCTCTCCCAATTCAGACATTAGAGCTGGTACCATGCAATGGTTCTCAGGTTGATGCTCACGAGTGTGGGGAGGAGAAGAGAGGGAGGGCAGGGGCAAACAAAATGGCAACACTGACCAAAACAGAAGGTCTCTCTATGTATACTATTTATGCTACCCACATCCTGAGGAACAGGACTCAGAGCTGTATTCTTGCCTATCTATGTTTTCAGTGAATCTAGAGATTGAGCCCAGGAGTACACAGGTATTCTATCACTAAGCTATATTCTTAGTCCCTTGTACCTTCTACCTCTATTTTGGTTTTCAGGGTTTTTTTTTGTTTTTTTGTTTTGTTTTGTTTTGTTTTTTTAATTTAATTGTATGTGTATGGGTGTTTTGTCTACATATACATCTGTGTAACATTTGCATGCCTAGAACTCATGGAGGCTAGATAGGAACTAGACTTACAGGTGACTATGAGCCACCATGTGGGTGCTGGGAATGAAACACCAATCCTCTGGAAGAGCAACCAGTGCTCCTAACCAGTGAGCCATCTCCCCAGCCCTTTGGGTTTTTGCTTTGTTCTTTAATTTTTTAAAAAAAACTCTGAGGCAGTCTTGCCTCAGTATCCTGGGCTTCTGAACTTCTAACCCTATCATCTCAGCTCCACGCAGTATTACAGGCAGCAGGTCTAGCTAGTCCTGCTTACCTTAATCATATCATCCATGATGTGCACATCAAAGCCTTCACAGTTACCACAAGGGCTTCGGATCCGCCACAAATCCTATGAAGGAAGAACAGTCCATGTTACAACTGGGCCAGAGAAAAAATGGCTACATGAATTCAGATCAATTGATTAGTTCCAGTACCTGGGAGGCAAAGGTATGTGGATCCCTGTGAATCTGAGACTACACAGTGAGTTCCAGGCCAGCACTGACTCAAAACAAACAAAGAAAACCACAGGCGTGCTGTTCCTGTTTACCACAAACACAGACCCCTACCCTCCAAAGCAGGAAAAAGGGACAAAGACTCTGAAGAACCAGGGTGGTTAACAGACTGGTCTAAGACTATCTAAATTGACATGACACCAAGTCCCCCTCCCTAAAGAGACAATCAACCAGAACTGAAACCAAGGTTTCTGTAAGTAGCCCTCTGGTGCCTGTGAACAATGCATAAAAGGACAGGAGAAGGCCCCAAAGCACTGTCTAGCCAGTCCATCTTCTATCTCCTGCCCCTGGGGCCTGGGACTAAACATCCTTTTCTATAGCCACTCTTCAGTCATGAGATCCACAACCCATATGGAAATTCCATCAGGTAAATAATGAAGAAAAATGCCCAGAAACTAAGTGATGGAGACATGAGGCTACAAAAAAATAGAGCCATTCTCATAAAAGGAATATCAAATGTGATTCACTCTTCATTTCAGGTCCAAAGCACATCAAAAACTTCAAAATCTTTCCAATAAAAAAAAATGCCTTTTCCATTTAAAATGATTTGGTGACTGTGGTTCTGCTTTGATGAGAGAATTAAAATGAAGCTTTTCTATTTCTTCCTGCATAAAAAGAGAAGTTCCCATCTCAGAATGCTCTAACAAAAACAGCCTCTGTTCTCTACAGAGCACAGCTAGCTGCACAGCATGCCTCCTGAAACACTTAATTTATGTTTTTAATTATTCTGATAAGCCACAATTGTAAAATGACAACACACAGTCATTTCCATTTCATATGTCAAATTACTGCTTTTTAAAAATGCAGCCTTCCTCTATTCTGCCCTGCAGCCACTGATGCAGAAAAGAAAGGCCCATCACCAGGGTCCAGGCTGTTCCATCTGCACTCAAGGACTCTGAAGTATAAGCTTCCCCATCCTCCCTTGCTCTGGTGTTTTGCGAAATCCTGGGTGGCCTACCCTGAACTCCACAATCATGGCATGCAGTGAGGCTGCCTGGGGCATCACCACAGCTCCAGGTTCCAGGTGCTGGTCCACGGAAGTACGAACATACCAGAAGTATAGGTTGTGCCATGGTAGCAGGCTGGTGGAGAAGAAGGGTTCACCCAGGAGGAGGGAGACCTGACAACCAGAATGGGAAGAAGCCAGGTATAACCAGTGAAGGTAACAAGTGAAGGGCAACTCAGCAATTTAAAAGAACATATAACAGGCCATTCATTCATTCATTCATCCATTCAACACTCAGTCAATAAATGAACATGCCCCTGAAGACACAAAGGATTGCAGAGTAGAAGAACAATACAAGGAAGAATGATCTTCACGTGAAAGAAGCAAGGAATAGGTGCGTGCAGGGCCTTCACAAAGGGCTTCCAGAAAGGATTCTTCCAGTTCACAAACCAGTATATCAGTAACAGATGAACAATGTGTCACCTTCACTGCACTAAAGCAAACGTGGACACTGGCAGCATGGTCCTGGCAAACTACATTTCAATCAACATTTGTGAAATAAGTAAATAGCTGTATGACTAGGAGTCAGGGAAGTCAGACAAATGGGCAGAGGCCAATCGAGGGTGTAAGAACAAGGCCTTCTAGACATCTGTCAGGAGAGGATGAGGAGGTTAGACCAGTCAGAATCCAAATGGTCAAATAGCCAAGAAGACTCAACTTGTCTTGAAGGCAACAGGGGCTCCTACACAGGGATTCAAAAGATAGAAGACATGGGGACTGGAGAGATGGCTCAGCGGTTAAGAGCACTGGCTGCTCTTCCAGGTCTTGAGTTTGATGCTCAGCAACCACATGGTAGCTCACAAACATCTATAATGAGATCTGGTGCCCTCTCCTGGTGTGCAGACATACATACAAGCAGAGTACTGTGTACATAATATTAATACATGATTTAAAAAAAGACAGAAGATGAGAATTTTAAAAGATCTTTGTTCTAAACCTGCATGTTCTAAACCTGTATTAAAAGAATGAAAGAGAAGGGGCTGGAGAGATGGCTCAAAGGTTAAGAGCACTTGGCTGCTCTTCCAGAGGTCCTGTGTTCAATGCCCAGCAACCACATGGTGGCTCACAACCATATGTAATGTAATGGGATTGGATTCCTTCTTCTGGTGTGCATGAAGACAGAGGACTCATATACATAAATAAATCTTTTTTAAAAAAATAATGAGGGAGGAAGAAGAGGAGGAGGAGGAAAACATAATGTTCAAAGTACCTGAATGTTCAAAGTAGCACCATTCAAAATAGCCAAGAAATCTTAATAGCATAAATAAAATATGGTATATCCATGCAAGGGAGTATTGTTCAACAATAAAAAGAGCTGATGCACTGACTTAGGTTACAGCATGGATGATCCTTGAAAATATTACGTTAAGTGAAAGTCAGTTACAAAGGACCATATATTGTATAATTTCATTTATATGATTTGTCTAGAATAGGCAAACCCACACAGACAGAAAGTAAACTAGTGGTGGTTTAGGGGTTGGGAGCACATGAGTGTGACCACCAACAAAAGGAGTAATTTAGGATAATGAAAATGCCCTGAGGTTGACCCGGTAGTGATTGCACACTTTACAAATACACTGTCACTCAGCCATGTACTTTAAGTGAGTGCTTTGTATACTGCATGAATTACATCTCAAGCTATCATTTTATAAAAGGCATGAGGGAAAATAGGCAAGAGACTTGAACAGATATTCAAGTAAGACTGATAAGTCTTATAAGTTTATGAGTACATGAAAAGATGTTCAATATCATTAGCTATCATGAAAATACAAATTAAAACTACAATGATAAGCCAGTGTGTTCCCACTAAAATGGCCACAGTAAAAAAGAGAGAAAAACCACAAAATGGATCTCACATACAGTTGGATAATAGTTTACACAGCTAGCCATGGGGGCACATGCTTTTAATCCCAGCACTCAGGAGGCAGAGGTAAGAACTCTGTGTGATCAAGGCCAACCTAGTTTACATAACAACCCTTTCTCAGAACAAAAAAAGCCTGCAGGGAGCTGGTGAGCAGCTGTGAAAGAGGGGGGTAAAAAGATCTGAGCATGAAGAATCCTTCAAAGAGGACTATGAAGGGGAAAAGGAGAGGTGGTGCACCATGTTACATAGCATTAACAAACTACTCTGCTCTCATTTGAGAGACATAAGAGCCAAGTTCTATGCTCACTGGGCCTTTATACAAACCCTCACCCACCTTCATAGTGGTGAGGTTTCTGCTGGCCAAGTTGCATGAGGGACATCACATAGCATTCAAGGTGACAAGGCAGAGCTTAGGTTACTTTAGAGCTACTCTGTCCCACCCACACAGCCCTACTGTACCACAAAGTCCAATTCCTTACCTTCTTATCCTCCAGATCTGCAGATGTTAACAACTCAGGCCGTTTCTTGATAATACTAATTTTATCTTCCAAGTGGTTAGCCTTGAAGATCTTGGAAACAAAGAATAAACTGTGTTAATATTGTTTTGGAGCAGGGAAAAACAACTTATGTGCTTGAGGCCTGGATTCAATCTGCATTTCGGTGTGAGTAGAACTGAGTGATTTGTAATCTACTCTACCGAAACTGTAAGACCTATATATAGATCCTGCCTGATGAGATATCATTTGCTCAGACCTCTTTCATAGTCTGTAGGAGGTACCCAAAGAGATGTTATCCTAGAGCCATTTGGCCAGAAAATTCAGCAGAGAAGGTGACTTTGAGGGGTGTTAGTTTTTAACTTTCTATGATGTTACAGATTGAATCCAGGTAGGAGCTACAACCATGAAGCAGGGTTATTTCTACTAGTTTCTGGTTGTGATGCTACTGCAAAGTCACCCATCCCAGAGTGAAGAAGGCAGGCCCAACAGTCCCCCCATGAATTTAGTACCAGCTGTCACTTACCCTTTTCATCAGTCTATAAGAAGCTGCCGAACTCTCAACTGTAAACACCTGAAGAAAAGCCAAGAGATGGACTTAAAGACAGAAGACACTTAAGACGAAAACCTGTCAAGAGGACACAGAACAATGGCCTGGCTGTACTACCTCCCTTGGATAGTATCTATGCTGGGTATTCACTAGAGAAAGTGGCCAACTCGAACGCTATGCTGCAGTTACCTAGCAGTGGTAGCCATTACTTGGTTCCTCACCATGAGTGGAAATAATAAAGTTCCTCAGCCACCAAACCAAAGTCATTCCACCAACAAAAGCTGTATCTTCAAAGGGCTTTGATCACAGAAACTCATGCCTGGCCTGGACCACAGTATGGCCTAACTCAAGAGCCAACTTAAAAAAAAAAAAAAAAAAAAAAAAAAGTGAAAAACAACAAAATAGAAAAGGAAAGTAAGTTAAAAATTAAAAGAGAAGAACAGCCCTTACAGAGAAACAGAGAAGCATGACCCAATGACCCAGTACCTGCTCTGCCCCAAGGTGATGGGCCAGCACAGAGAGGAGACTGCCATCACTGACACAAAGACAGTTGGTCCCTGGTGTCAGCACCTGTGGGAAAAAGCAGGATCAGCACAGGTTACCTTAGTCCAGGAGCTTCCTCCTGACAAGCTAACAGACAGGTGCCCTTCCCCCAGCTTCACTCACAGGCTTCATTTTCCGTTTTTTTTCCTCTCTAATTTTGTGTTTGGTTGTTTTGCCCAGAAATGTGGGTTTGTAACCCACTGAGGCCAGAAGAGGGCATCAGATGTCTTAGAACTGGAGTCACAAACTGTAGTACTAAGACCAAACCCAGGGAAGGGCAACAGGTACCCTTAACCATGAGCCATCTCTTTCCAGACCTGACAGATTTCTGAATACACCAGTTCTCATCCCATTTTCCTTCCTGCCCCCACACTGCCACGTCTGCCTTCTCATCATACACAGTAACCAGCCGCGGCCCTCACCCACTCTTCCCACCAGGGCCCACTGCTGTGAGAGTAAACACAAGCGGGGAGAGTGAGACCTAAGCACAAAGACCCAAACACTTACAGTCCTCAGGGCTTGGGCAAATTGATCAGTTCTGTCCTGATCATTAATCTCTCCAAACCGAGGCCGGTTCCAGAGCAAGTGAGCCTGACAATCACACACAGGGCGCACTTGGTAGACTTTCTCATTCTCATCAGCACTGAGCAGGAAGATGAAAAGTCAAACATAAGTGATAAATATTCCACACTGGAAACTTGGAGAGCATGAGGGCATGAAACAGGAAGCGAGAACACCAGAAGTGAGCCTGGGCCCTGGGAGATACATGGCCAGGTCTCTAGAAGAGCCCGGACACCAGCACATTGGGGGTGATTCCACACTTCTCATACACTTCTCATATATATATATATATATATATTGAATAGAACTTACCAATCCATAACAGTTTCTACATATACACAAGCACACTGATGTATCCTGCTACAACCTTCTGCTTTTAAAATTATTATTTTTACATGAGTGGAGAAGTACCATAGCACATATGTAGAGGACAGCTTTGTGGAATAGGTGCTCTCCTTCCACTATGTGGATTCTGGGGATTTAACACAGGTCATCAGGTTTGCTACAAGTACCTTTACCCAGAGTCATATTACTAGTCCTTGCTCTTACTTTATTCTGTCCTGCATAAATCTACCCATTTAAATCTCTAGGAGATCAATCAGTCCAATAGAGTTCACATCAGTGCAGTCTGAGGGCTGGTCCTTCACCCCAACAACAAACTTGCATACCTGGTCCTCTGGAGGCTGTACCACACACAGTAGTCATCATGGTGGGCTACCAAGCATTGGGGTGAGCCCTGAACAACGGGATCCTCCTGTGGCAAGAAGTATACACACTGCATCCAGTGGTCCCGCCACTGAAATGAGAAGAACTAGTTTCACTAAGCTGTGACAACAATGCTTCCAATCCAAAGGCCCAAAGTCAAATATCAGTTGTATAGACTACAAGTGCTTATTATGGCCCTAAAGATAAAGAAAAAAATCCTAATCAGAGAAGCCAGTGTCCCAGAAAGCTTTCTGGAACCCGGCTGACTTCAGAAGACATCATCAAGGGCATTGATCTTCTGAGGTAGCTTTAGAAGGGACAAATGCAGGCTCTGCTCTCTCCTCACACCTTTAATCACAGTACTGGAGAGGCAAAGGCAGATGGATCTCTGAGTCTGGTCCTAGCCTGTGTCAAGTTGACATAAGACTAGCCAGCACAAGCACCAATGCACTCTCCTTTATCTGTTGGACTATGAGCCATCTTCCATTAGAAGGAAAAATTCTCTGGCTCAAAACTAAGGCTGACCTAGTGGCCTGGGGGAAATCCTGCTCTAAGAGCCTCTTGGGATATATTCCAAGGCTTTAATATATATACAGAATTTCCTTTTGTTTTAAGTGGCTTCAAAACACAGAAAGGTCAAATATAATACATTATATTCAACTGGATCCTAGACTAGGAAAACAAAAGCTATTAAAGACATTTGGGGACAAGTAAGAAAATTTTATTTTGAACCATGTTAGATGTTATAGAATAAATAGTATATGTTAATTTTCTCAGGTGTGATGATGGTATTTTGCTTATGAGGAAACTGTTTTATTCTTATAAGTATCAAGGAGTCAAGAGTCAGATGTTTGTAACTTACTATCAAATGACTGAGCAGAAATTGTGTGTGCAATGAGAGAGGAAAAAAAGATACAGCAAGTGTGGGAAATATTAACAATTAGTAAATTGAAGTAAAGGCACCACCAGTGTCCATTTTCACTTACTCTGTGATTCTACAATTTTTCAAAACAAAAGCTGGGAAAATAGGGGTCAGGGAAGATGGCTTAATCAGTAAAGTCACTTCTGCGTGGCATGAGGACCTGAGTTCAAAGCCCAGCACCCATGTAAAAAGCTGAAAAGCTGGGTGTCTATACCCTGGGGGTGGGGTGGGGGTGAGAAGGAGTGGGGGCAGAGACAGATGCATCCCTGAGTGGTCTAGTCAAATCAATGAGTTTCAGATTCAGGGAGAAACCCTGTCTAAAAAACAAAGGTGGATGGGGACTCTGGCCTCCATACATACATGCAAAGGCCCACCTACAGGTACATATGCACACACCAATACTAACAAATATGTACACTCACTATACACGCCATAACTCACACACAGACCGCATTGTATCACACACATTAAAAAGTTTAAAATAACAGAGAAAGGCTGTTAGGCTTACTCCCTTGAATTAAATAAGTTGTTGTTTTTTAAGATTTATTTATTTATTATGTATACAGTGTTCTGCCTACATGTATGTTATGTTTGCATGCCAGAAGAGGGCTCTAGATCTCGTTACAGATGGTTGTGAGCCAGCCAGTGGTTGTTGGGAATTGAACTCAGGTCCTCTGGAAAAGCAGTTGGTGCTCTTAATCTCTGAACCACCTCTCTAGCCTCCTTGTTTTTGTTTTAAGAACTAGAATATTCTAAATTGTGAAACATGATTTACAGTGATTTTGACTGGTGATTAAAGATCCAGAGCATTACCAGGCAGTGGTAGATGCACATCTTTAATCCCAGTACTCGAGAGGCAGAGGCAGGCAGATCTCTGTGAGTTTGAGGCCAGCCTGGGCTACAGAATGAGTTCCAGGAAAGACTCCAAAGCTACACAGAGAAACCCTGTCTTTAAAAACAAACAAATATCCAGAACATTATATATGTTAGGCAACTATTCTATCACTGAGCTCACTTGAGCCCAAAGTAACCTTTAAAAATCCTTACTAAAAATCTTACATAAAAGGAAAATAAGAAAAAGAAAAGATAAAGAAACTATAGGCACATAAAACAGATTTGTACTAACAAAAACCAAGAACCAACACAAATATCCAGCTCAGAAATAGGTTAAATATTTATGAAGAATACCCAAAGACATGAAAAATGACAAAGATCATAAGACAGCAGAAAAATACAACCAACAACAACAATTTATAAAAGGTCAAGCTGGGCGTTGATGGCACACGCCTTTGGTCCCATCTCTCGGGAGGCAGAGGCAGGCGGATCTATGTTAGTATGAGTACAGCCTAGTCTACAGAGCTAGTTCCAGGACAGGCTCCAAAGCAATACAGAGAAACCCTGTCAAAAAAACAAAACCAAAAAAAAAAAAAAAAAAGTTAAAAATGAGTTAAACTCCTCTTTGGAAAGAGACACAAGAAAGGTAGTTAAGGTAGTTATTTTGGGTGGTAGGGTCTAATGTAAATTCTAAACACTTTCATTTTACCAAAGGAAGTTCCTTTATTGAACCAGGGTCTCACTCTATAGCCCTGGCTAGTCTGGAACTTATCATGTAAATCAGGCAGGCCTTGAACTCACAAACAAGTGTTGTAGAATATTATTTAGAGGTGTATTACTTTTTGTTTATGCTCTGGAACATTTGTTTAATGATCCAAAGATATGTTTGATTAAATAAAATTCACTTGTGGTAAGAAGGCTGGGTCAGCAACTAGCTGACAGGAAGTTGTAGGGAGGAGCCAGGTAGAAAAGGGTTTGTAAGGAGGGAAGAGGAAAAGAGGATTTATCGGGAGACAGGAGGTGGTAAGCTAGGTGAGCTGCTTGCTATTCAATCTCTTTGGGAAACAGGATTCAAAAAAAAAAAAAAAAAAAAGGCAACAATTAAAAAAAGAAAAACAACACAAAGTCCACCTGACTCTACCTTGTAAATACTGGGATTAAAATCCTATGCCACCATACCCACCCCCTTCCCACCCCAACCCCAAAATCCCCACCCCCAGTCGCATGTTATTCTTGTTTTTTACTTGTTTGTTTGTGGGGTTTTTTTTTTTTTGTTGTTGTTGTTGTTGTTGTTTTTTCAGAGACAGGGTTTCTCTGTGTATCTTTGGAGCCTGTTCTGGAACTCATGCTGCAGACAGGGCTGAACTCATAGAGATTCGCCTGCCTCTGCCTCCCAAATGCTGGAATTAAAGACATGTGCCAACCATACCCAGTATTTCTTTTTTTTCTTTTTCCATGTCATTCTTATGACCTATAATATGTCTTGTTTTTTTAGAAATTAAGGTGATAGAATTTGGAAAAATCAGGAAGAATAACTATCCTAAAAAGTTGGTGCCTGAGTTAAATGTGGTCAGGAGGTGGTAGCACACTTTTAATCCCAGCACTCAAGAGGCAGAGGCAGAGGTAGGTAGATCTTTGTGAGTTTGAGGCCAGCCTGGTCTACAGAGCAAGTTCCGAGACTGTCAGGGCTACAAAGAGAAACTCTGTCTAGAAAGAAAAAAAAAAGTATAACATATGCCTGTAATTCCAGCACTGAGAGGAAGCTGAGGGAGGAGGGTCATGAGTTTGTGGCCAGCCTGGGTTACCTTATGAGTTTGGGCCAGCTTGCTATATAGCTTCTCAAAAAAAGAAAAGAAAGAACCTGGCTCAACTCTGATGGGGTGACAACCTGCTTATTGCTATTTCCAGAAACCAAGGAAACTAGGTTTTGTCAGACTCCAATAGCTTACATGCAAATGAAGACAAAGCTTTTTCTACTTGCCTGGGACATAGCTCACCCACTTGGTCCTGAATTTAGCAAAAAGGCAGGTATCTAAGATGCCTATTCAAATATAAAGCTAAAAAGTAAAAGTTCAAAAGCCACATATACAGTAATAAAGGATAAACAGGTTATGTTCTCCATTATTCCTTCCTGTACTGGAGGAATAGAGTGCTCCCTAACATCTGCCCCTCCCATAAACACTATACAAGAAGACTGCTGAGTTCTCATGCTAAAGAGCTAGTAACAGAACATCTGTCCCAAAGTGAGACAGGCTAAATGGGATCAAAGTGGTTTTGTGAGTTCAGCAGGGAAATCTTTCAGCTTTCAAATTCCTAATATTATAAAAGTCATCAGTGGTTTAGAAAGGGCACATGATGCACTGTGAGAAGACCTGGGATCCACACCTACCCTTCTACTTCCTGGACACAAGACCCTGCACTCTGGGCATTGTTACAGTTAACTGGTATATCTATATGTAGATTCAAGGAGAAATATACACTGTAGTGCTCTAAAGACATGCAACTAAAATGTATTAATAATTTTATTTTTGAAATCTCACAAACACAACCCATGAGAACCAAGACTGCAGAGGAAAGTTGGCATGCACTGACTGACACACACCTGCCTTGGGTCAAACAATTAGAAAGAAGAGGTTGACTGAGGAGCTCACAGGTCTGGCTAGTAACAGCAGCCCCACAGCAGTCAGAGCCTTTGGCCTAGGCAGTACTTAAGGCACTTAGGTGTATCTGTAATGCAATGGCAGTATGCCTGCCTATCATATGTGAGGCCAAATGTCTAATACAGTGGTTCTCAGTCTGGGGGTTGAACAACCCATTCATGGGGATCACCTAAGAACATCTGCATATTAGATATTTACAATTCATAACAGTAGCAAAACTGATTATGAAGTAGCAATGAAAATAATTTTATGGTTTGGGGTCACCACAACATGAAGAACATTAGGAACATCGAGCACGGAAAACCACTGCTCTAATCCTCATACTCTAAGAAAACAACACTAATATTCATAAATACACACTAACTACTCTGCAACAGAGCTACATTGTTCACTGAAAGACACAGGATGACTTGAATTCTTACAGGTGGCCTTTCTGTTGTTCTTTTTCTATTAAGATATGATTATCCTACATGTGAGTCTATGCATCTATGACTTAAGCAAAAGTGTTCAGGGCCCCAACATCTATCATTTCTACCATGTTGGACTGAGCTATGCTGTGTACCATTAATGTTCTGACAGCTTACAGTCAAGCTTTACCAACAGTGGGTCACAAAACTTTCTGAATTTTGTTTACTAATAGGTAAAGATAGCATTTCATTGCAGTTCATATATGTTCTTTTCTTTTATTTCATAGCAGTTTAAAGGTAAAAACTTATCACATGCTGAATAGTAATCTGTATTTGCAGTTTGTAGTTCACATTCCTCTGCTCATTTTCTTTGAGCTGGAGAGGGTAGATTTTGAACCAAAGGAAGTGAAGTTGTAGTTCTTCATTCCAAGCTGACCTGAGCCCACTGGATTACTTATGGAAGAAGGTGGTGAGGTGAAGGGCTATGCCAGGACAAATGAGAATAGCAGAACTAATCCATTAAGACTTGTGTTGCTCACTGTGGCCACAGGTGTCAACCATGAACTCACCCAGAGAGGAGAGGTCTACTACACACTGGAAGGCTCTACTGCTTCTTTTTGGTATTTTTTTTGGTTTTTTTTTTTTTTAAAGACAGGGTTTCTCAGTTTAACAGCCCTAACTGTCCTGGAACTTACTTTGTAGACTAGATTGGCCTTGAACTCACAGAGATCCTCTGGCCTCTGCCTCTGAGTGCTGGGATTAAAGGTGTGCATCACCACTACCTGGCATGCTTTCTAGTTTTTATTAGTTATTATTTTTCTTTGTAGTGATGGGTAGAATAGGGACTCATGCAAGCTAGGAAAGTGCTCTATCATTCAGCCACATCCCAGTCCATTGTGCTTGTGTGTGTGCATGTATGTTTTCCCAAAAGAAAACTCCCTCTTTGCCTTTAACTAATATAGTGATCTAGGGGTAAAAAGAAACAAAAATAAGTTTCCTGACTTACATGAAATGTGCTCAGCTCCTGCCTCTTACCTGAAGCTCCTGTGGGTCTGTCTGTGCCCAATAGGGTGCCATGGTACATTTGATCTTCCCCTCTGGGTCCATTTCAATGTCCCACCAGGAAAGAACCACCTGTGCTTGGCCAGATGCCACAGGTACAAACTGCCTGCTATGACAGGCTGCCGAGCTACTGACTTGCTTGCTGAAGTCCACACTGTAAAAGAATATTCAGAAACCGAAGCATAATTTAACTCATACACTCCACTGTTAAACTTCTACAGAGACCTGATCAACAATGGTGCTAATGTAGAGAGAATTCAGCTAGGTTTCTGTTCCACAAAAGAAGAAATCCAATTAAATGTCTCAAAGCACTACCACCCAGGGAAGTTCCAGGGTACCTGAACATTGGTAGCACATCACTGAGGACAGTGAAGTCAGCAGATGACACCTGATTCAGCTGAATGTCATAGACTGAAGGTGCACCAGGACACCTCTCCAATTCTGAGGGAGGAACAATGACCTGCTCTCCAAGACCAGTCTGAATACGGACAGGAAACAGCTTGTTCCATGACCACATCCTTCTGGACTCCACCAGCTGGGCATAGACAGTTGCTTTGTGAGGCACTGCTTCACAATTTTCCTAAGTTTAAATCAAAAGAAACCAACAACAGTAAGTCAGGCACCTGATCTACAGTGACTCACACTTGTCAAAGGCTTTAATATTTGTTGTGGATGGAATATTTGTTTACACTGTGAAGCTGTGTTTTGGCCAAGGTACCTTCTGATTGGTTTAATAAAGAGTTGAATGGCCAATAGCTAGACAAGAAGAGGCTAGGTGAGAGTTCTGGGAACAGAGAGGACTCTGAGAAGAAAGGTGAAGTTGTCCAGCCAGCACAGAGGGAAGAGGATGGGCAGTACAAAGAGATGAGGTATCAAAGCCATGTTATTGAATGTAGATTAAAAAATATGGATTAATCCTGAGTGAGGTAACCCAGACCCATATGACAAACAGTGTGTACTCACTCTTAAGTGGATATTAGACATAAAGCAAAGGATAACCAGCTTACAGTCCACAACACCGAAGAAGCTAGGTAACAAGGAGGAGCTTAAGAGAGATATACATGGCTCCCCTGGAAAGGAGAAATAGATAAGATTTCCTGAGCAAATCAGGAGCATGTGAGGGAGGGGGAAAGAGAGGAGAGGAGAGCATGAGGGATGGTCAAGTTGGGGGGAAGAACAGAGAGGGAGAGCAAGGAAAGAGATTAGGGAGCCATTAAGGGGTTATCGAGAAACCTGGCACTAGGGAAATTACCAGGAATGCACAAGGATGTCCCCAGCTAAGACTAAGCAATAGTGAAGAGGGTGCCTAAACTGGCCTTCCCCTGTAATCAGATTGATGACTACCTTAATCGTTATCATAAAACCTTCATCCAGTAACTGATTGAAGCAGATGCAGAGATCCACAGCTAAGCACTGGGCCTAGATCCCAGAATCCAGTCGAAGAGAGGGAGGAACGATAATATGGGCAAAGGGGTCAAGACCATGATGAGAAAACTCATAGAACAACTCACAGGAGCTAGTGGGAGCTCACTGACTCCAGACTGACAGCTGGGGAACCTGCATAGGACCACTAGGCCTCTGAATGTGGGTGACAGTCATGTGCCTTGGGCAGTTTATGGGGCCACTGGCAGTGGGACCAGGATTTATCTCTAGAGCATGAACTGGCTTTTTGGCACCCATTCCCTATGGAGAAATATCTTGCTTAGCCTAGATACAGAGGAGAGGGCTTTGGTCCTGCCTCAATGTGATTTGACAGATTTTGTTGACTCCCCATGGTAAAAGGATTAAAAATCAAATTATATAAACCTCAGCAACTTTTCTAGAACAGAGCAACCCCACCTTGACCTTTGAGTTACCCAGTTCCTCTCTGTTCCAAGGAGTAAAAAAAAAAAAAAAGACCACTTTCAGGGAAAAGTGAAAAAGTCATGGTACAACCCTGAAACCATAGACTGTTCCCTCACTATGACAACCAATAAAAACATGTAAAATAACAGGTTGTATTACCAAAAATATGAATTCACCTAACCCCTGCTAAATGTCAACCAATCAGAAATGGACCTCGCCCACTAATGTAATTTTTTGTGGCTTTCCCCTTTAAAAGAGCTTGGCTAAATGCTCTAAGACACCTCTCTGGCAGCTGTTGCATCAGTTTGCCAGTAGAGATCCCTGCCTGCTTGTATACAATAAAAATCTTGCTTTTTTGCAGTTTGGGAGAGTCTTTCGTAAGTTAGGACTCAAGGGGTCTTCATGATCTGGGCAAACAATGGGAAGCTGAACTGTCTCTGATGAGGGATGGAGTGGGAATTGGAGGAGGAGAGGGAGGGGGAACTGGGATTGGTATTTAAAATAAAAAAATTGAAAGAGGGGAGAGTATGAGGAGAAGAGGGAGGGGGAACTGGGATTGGAATATAAAAAATAAAATAAATAAATAAATAAACAGAAGGCTGAGTAGGACAAGAGAGGGCACAAATATGAAATACATATGTACATGTATACAGTGTTATAATAAACCTATTATTATGCATAATTTTTTAAAAGTTACATTATGTTGCCAGACATTATTGCCCTTATAATTCAACTCAAATCTAAGTCTCAACTTTATCTGGGGCTGGAGGGATGGCTCAGCAGTTATTAGCTCTTGTTGCTCTTATAGAGGTTCCAGGTTTGGTTTTCAGAACCCACATGGTGAGTAACAACCATCACTAAGGCCAGCTCTACGAGATCAGGTGCCCTTGTTTAAACACTATGGGAACTGAGCGTGCACACAGTGCACCTATATACATGGAAGAAAAACACACACATAAAATAAAATATATAAATCTAAAAAAATCCTGAGCAAATAAACTTTCCATATTAAATTAAAAAATAAAAAGATTGTTTTAATTGCCCCCCAATGGGTTAATTTAAGTTATAAAAGCTAGTTAGTAACAAGTCTTTTTTTTTTTTTTTTTTTTTTTTTTTTTTTTGGTTTGGTTGGATTTTTTGAGACAGGGTTTCTCTTTGGAGCCTGTTCTGGAACTCACTCTGTAGACCAGGCTGGCCTCAAACTCGCAAAGACCCACCTGCCTCTGCACATTATTTATGATTTACTAAAGCTTGCCTGAGGATTTAGAAAAGCAAAATCAATCTCAAGCTATAGACATCAGTCAGTGGTGACAAACACCTTTAATCCCAGCAGCCAGAAGCTAGGAGATGGTGGTATACACCTTTAATCTTAGGAGTCAGGATTAAGAAGGCAGACTGATCTCGCTGAGTTCAAGACCACCCAGGGATACACGAGACTGGATCAATCTAAAAGAGTAAGAGATCACATGTCTTTAATCCCAGCACTAGAGGGGTATACATAGAAGCAGTGTCTTCAGTATTTGGTAGGAGGCATTCATCTCCAACCACACTGAAGATAGGCATTCATTCTCCAGCCAAGCTGAGGAGAGGTTATAGCTGAGGTTTGGTGAGAGCTTATAGAGACAGGATCAGCCCATTCAGCCTGAAGTAGAGGTAAGAAGCTAGTGGCCAGCTGCTTTGCTTTTCTGATATTCAGATTAAAGTTTGAACCCCAATATCAAGTCTCTGGGTCATTTACTTTTTCAAGTTACACGAGTGTTGGGATTAAAGACATGTGCCACAAATGTCCTGCTAAAGCATTCATAATTAATAAGTCTCTGCGTCATTATTATCAGGCTATGACATCATCAATATAAATACATAATTAAAAGGCATAACACCACAAATATGACATGACACAATAATCAGAAGACTATGACATCATAACAGGAAAGATATGACAGCATAAATGTATGATGTTATAATTCAAATTATGATATATAATTGGGAGGGTATGACTACATCAATGTTAATATATAGCATCACAATTGGAAGGGTATGATATAACAGATTGGCATGACATCACAACTGGAAGACTATGACATTATCATTGTTGGGACATAACATCATCAATGTAAATATATATCATAATTGGAAGGGTATGACACCAATGTGAGTATGACATAAAAAATTGTTGTTACATGCACTTACATATAAGAATATGCATCTCCAACTAAAGAAATACAACTTTCCTAGTTATCTGTCCTTCTTTCATTTTATCCTTTCTCAACTGCTTCTTCATCTCAACCTACCTGCTCCCCTACACACTTCCCATCCTTTATCTTTTATTTCATCTTTCCTCCTCCCTTCCTTTTTTCCTTTCTCTCTCTCTGTACTTGTCAATGTTTCTGCCAAAGAACCCAATCCCCATCACTAATGCAAAGTGTTGTGAGCACCGTAGTATAGTATACAGACTAGACATCACATATAGCTAGTGGATGTGTAGCATCAAGTGGCAGAAGTCTGAGTCTTTCCTCATGGTGAAAATGAACAGAAGAAGAGACTGCTATACAAGGATAGACTGTTGCTTTAAGCGGTCAAATAGGAAGATATTCAAGTGTCCAGGTTTTACTCCATTTATGTCTTACATTACAAACCCACATCCTGTAATGGCTGACTTATCTTTAATATGATAGCACTTCATTCCATTGGTCATGATTCTCTGGAGAATTGTCAGAATCAAGAATGAGAAAACTTCCAGTCACCCTTTTTAAAGTCTAGGCAGTCCTCCTTGGTAAGATGCTCCCTGTAGGGTTCGGCAACCCCGTGAAAATGGTGAGGGAGCATGTATTCTATGTTTGTTGCCTAGAGAGGATGCCAATCCTCAAATGGTACAGAACTATTAGCAGCGTCATATATGTAATAGATGTATGACAGCCCATTTACTACTTTACTTGCCCTCTCAAAGTTTAAACAAAGAACAGAGATTGGTCTATGGTGAAATCTCCACACAAACATAACCCTCAGAAAAATTCCCAGTTGACCCAGGTGTGCATGGACCACAGAGAGGCATCTACTTTTGTCAGGGTACTTGTCTATTCTCATGTGAGAGCAGATTAAGACCACAAGCTGACAAACCTGTCAACAGCAGCTGTTCACCTCTGCAGGCTCAGTCCTAAGGGAGGGGAAGTCTCCCCTATTGGGATAAGAAAAGCATTTCGAAATTAAAAAGGGCAAATTCCCCGGAATACAGATAACTATCTGTCCTGTTTGCAAATGTCAGGGAATCTAGGGAACATGGATGTTTGTGAGCATGGGTGTAGCTTTTATGTATTGCGTTTGTGTTGTATGTGTATGTTTATCTGTATATGTGTTTTGGAAGATCTATTCATGTACCTACATCCTCTACTGATTTGCACCTTGTCCATGGGGTCCAGGTCCCCTAAAGAAAACAGGATGAAGAGAACTTGTTTTCATTTGAGTGTGAAGTTGCTGAGTAAGGCAGAAGCACTCCCGTCCCTTCACAGACACCTGCAGAGTCTCCCTCAACTACCCGGTTGTTCTACCTCCTTGTCCTCCTACCTCATTCATCCTTTTATTCTGAGTCCATCACCAGGCCCTGGAAACCCAGCAATGAAGATGGTTTTCTCCCTCCCAGCACTGGCACTGGAGCTAGATGCCTGTCAGGAATTGAAGGGAGGTCCAGGTGTATGGAGAGATTCTGAAGGGCTGTACTGAGCATGGTGTAGCAGTGACTGTGTACAACAGCTTCAATTGTAACACTCTGAAGGCTCTGACCACTTACCTGCACAAGATGCCTATGTGCATGCTCGTAAGAGGGCAGTGCTCCCTCCCCGATCAGTTCAGTGTCAAACAGCTCTGTGACCAGGATGTTAGCACGACAAGGCAAGTCACCATCTGAAAATATGCATTAGGGTAGGAAATATATTTACGACAAATACATCCAAAATACTACATCAAAAAGTAGGAGCTAGAGAAATGACTCAGAGGTAACAGCACGTGCTGCTCTTGCAGAGTTCCAAGTTCAGTACTCAGCATTCATATCAGGCAACTCAGAACCCCTGTTAAGTCTGGCTCCAGGAGATCTGATACCCTCTTCTGGGTTTGGAGGCATTCTTTTGTCAACTGTTTTCTAAACTTTGAAAACATAATATTAGTACTACAATTATAATTTTTAACGAGCCAATAGACCTTGGGAAGAGCTATTTATCATGGAGAATTAACTATAAACATTTCTAATGGTTCATGAATTACATTAGACAAAGCCCACTCATCTTCACTATACAGAGGACAAATTTCACAGCTGACACTAAAAAAAGAGGCGCATTAAAGTGGTTTAGAGAGGCTGAGAGCCTGGACTGAGCCTGGAGTCCTACAGACCTCACTGGAGACCACTTTCTAGCCTGGAGGCCTGGGTTCTACATATCAAGTTAGTCACCTCAACTGTAAAATGAGGGACAGAACAAAGGTTAGAAAAGTATATTTCCTATGGCACATATGTGGGTTCAACGTGCCCATTTTACTTATACATCTAGTAAAGTGGAAGCTAAGTATAAGTACATGGAAATTAAGAGCAAGCTCCATAGCTTGCCTTGGAAACAGTGTCCGTTCTCATTACTATGTTAAATTCCAGCAGGAACACACTGTTCCACCTTGACCTCTCCCCATAACCATACACTCGACAGCCTCTGCCTTAATGAACAGCCCCTGTCATATTGCACAGAAAGGAGCATCATTTGCCAGGTCTAGGACTGCCCTAGTCACCATACCTCAATGACTAGAACAATACCTTAAAATCAATAAGAAGAGCAACAAACACCAGCTGAATTCTTGATACTTCCCTGTCAATCATCATCAAACCAGAACAATTCTACCTCCTAAATACGTTTTAAGGTGATGATGAGACTTGAAATGATTTACCATTCAAGTTTGTTCATTAAAATAAAAACAACGCTTTATGACCCAGTGAATTTTAATAAATACTTCTTGGAGCCTGGTATTTATCAAGTGAATGTGAATTTATGAGGGGGTGGTGTAGAAGAACCTAAAGAAAGGGTAATTAATTATAGCAGGTGTGTCCCAATTTATCACATGAATGCAATGGATAGTTGAACAACAGCTGCCACACATACTCAGGGTAATCCATCTAAGCAACAGGCTCCAAACTTAGATGCTAATTTTAAGGCCTCAGAACACAATGTTAGTATTTCTGCATTCAATCCTTCCTGATCCTAAAACTCTAATCCTGTAACATTCAACAAGCCACACACAGTAAGTACCATGCTAGCCAGGGCTATAGAGCAGAGCCTTTCTCAAAAAAACAAAAAGAAGTGAAACTAAAATTAGGAAACATCACTGGGAACTGGAAAGAGTTTTAGGAAAGATGGAATGTATAAGTACCAACACTGTGGCATCTAGAGAGGAGGAAACAGAGAAGACTTCTGACTTGGCAATGAGGAGGCCACTTGGGATAGGATATGACAGTGCACACCAGAAGTCCCATCACCTGGGAGGCAGAAGCAGAAGGCCAGTGAGTCTCAGGCTAACGTAGGCTACATAAAGAGATTCTGTTTCAATAAAACAAACACTTCAGCAAGCCACCTGTTAAGATGGGGGGATTAGTGTCAGGCAGTGGTGACACACACCTTTAATCCCAGCACGTGGGAGACAGAGGCAGGCAGATCTTTGTGAGTTCCAGGCCAGACTGGCATACAAACAAGTCCCAGGACAGCCAGGACTATTACACAGGGAAACCCTTGTCTCAAAAAAACCAAAAAAAAAAATATATATATATATATATGTATGTATGTATGTATGTATGTATGTATGTATGTATTACTATGTAGTTCAGGCTGACTTGAAATCCATGGCTTTCCTTCTACCTCAGCTTCCCAAATGCTTGGGATTACCCATACCTAAGTTTAGGATCTTAGGGATCAAACCTAGGGCTTAGGAACCCAAGGCAAGTACTCTACCAGTGGCTACATTCCCATCCTCAAAGTAATGTGTATTACTTTGTGGGGGGAAAAAAATCCAGATATGGTGATCTGTTATCTGTCTGTAATTTCAATTCAAGATCAGCCTGGACTATATTAGATCTTGATGATGATAATAACAAAATTAAACTAAACTAAAATACTGAGTTTAAATAGATCCTTCAATCCTAAAATACTACATCTTAAAAACGAGTAATGGCCATAAAGAACAGCTTATCCATCTTCCCCTTCCCCAAATGTTTTAAATGTGCTCTCCAAGTTTCAATAAGCATGTAGAATGTTCTAACACTATTGACTATAAAGACTTTTCTTACTACCTTAAATTTGCTTAAAGCAAAATGTTTCTTCCCTGTGTGTGACTGCTGTGACATTTCATTAGCTCTACTATTCACACAAAGCTTCTCACACAGGTAAACTCTCACCTGGTCCAACTGTCACCTCAGTGGAATGCTTGTTAATAACTTTAATCTTATCACTGAAGCCATTTTTCTCCACAATCTTCACAGCAGCATCAGCCATTGGCTTAAAAACCTGCAAGTCAGAGAAGGGGGTGAAAGCAGAGGTGACAGAGAGGGAAAATGAGCAATGTTTTAAAAACAGAACAAAAACCCACTTACCACTGAAGGACTCATAGCTAGGCCCCATCATTAATTAGTTAATTAATCAATTAATTAATTTTTGGTTTTGGTTTTCAAGACAGGGTTTCTCTGTATTGCTTTGCAGCCTGTCCTAGAACTCACTCTGGAACTTGCTGGCCTTGAACTCACAGAGATCTGCTGGCCTCTGCCTCCTGAGTGATGGGATTAAAGGCATGTGCCACCAATGCCTGGCTGGTCCCATAATTTGACCCTAAAAATGCTTTAGTCTCCAAATGTGTGCCATGAAAATGAATAAAAGGATGAAATTCAGCCAGGTGTGATTAGCTCATGTCTAATCCCAGAATTCAAGATAGTAAGGCAGGAGAATCAGCATGACTTAGAAGACTGAGCTATAAAATGAAACCCTGTCTCAATAGCCCCCATTTGCACACACACAAAGAAAGTTTAAATTCAAGGTATTATTTACAAGTTCCTATTTTATGCCCACTAAGTGGAAATGAAATAATCTTGCACTACTTAGTAAAGGCATTAGGTGTCACTGCCCTTACTAAACACTGTAAGAGCAGAGCTATCCCACAAGCCTTGGAAAATGTGCTTTAGTCTTCAAAGATAAGACAGCTAAAGTGTGGCCAAACCATCTTCATTTTCAGAACTGACCCAGACTAAAAGCATAGCCTGTATTACCTTGTGATACATGGGACCCTCCACAAAGTTGACCACTTTATTCTCCTAGCCAAATGTCCCATTCTTAACCCACATGATCCTCCCCAACATTCATATGCAAGCCTGAACCTTTCCCATGCCATCTGACAAATCAAATCCAACTGGATGCTGGAAATGGTGATACATGCCCATAATCCCAGCACTTGGGAAGTATAGATAGGATCGGGAGTTCAAGGATTGCCTAACTACACAGTAACTTAGTTTGAGGCCAACTTGGGCCACTTAAGACTCTAGTGTCTAATGCACAAATACAACCCCACATAAGACTCTAGTGTCTAACGCACAAATACAACCCACAGGAAAGCACAAAGTCTTCCTTCCAGAAGCTATCCCTGAGCCCTTCACTAACTTCTCTAACCCTGAATTCTCAACCTGCCTAGTCTGGATGTCACAGTTCTAACCCATAAAACACAGGAACTCTCATAAATACAAAGAGGAAAAAAAAATAAAAGATGGAAGATTTTTATTTTTTCTAAATCTTTTCCTCTATTCCCTATCATTAACATGATTTTGGTTTTTATATGACAAAGAAAAGCCATATTCTTTTGGAAAGAATGTATGTACTTGGGGCTGGAGAGATGGCTCTGGAGAGTACTGGTAGGTCCAGAGCTCAATTCCCTGCAGCCACATGGTGGCTCACATCATTTATAATGATACCTTCTGGCAGCAGGCATACATGCAGGCAGAACACTATAAATAAATAAATGTTTTAAATAAAAGAAAAAGACTATGTACTCAGCTGAAGAAAAAAACAATCATTATTAAAATGTAGCTTTTTTGCACATGTGGTATCTGGCCTCAATCCCTCAGTGCTCATCAATCACTTTGACTGAACCTCTAAAGTGATCACAATCTCAGTGTCATCTAATCTTTCTGCTGCCTTTGACCTATCACTCATCCCTTTCCCTAAGGCCTCAAGCTCTGACCATTCAAAGCCTCTCTCTCCTAGTCCACCAAGAAAGCTCAAGATCTCCTGGAGCTGAAGAGACAGCTCATCTAGTAAGGCATTTGAAGTGTGATGGATTTTGTCACTTGGCACAGTATAGTATCATTTTAAAACGGCATCTCAAAAAGAATCATCTAGATTAGAGTGACCTGTGAACATGTCTGTGAGAGATTTTCTTTTTTTTTTTTTTTTTTTTTTTTTTTTCTTTTGCTTTTGAGACAGGGTTTCACTATGTAGCCCTGACTGTCCTTAACTCGCTCTGTAGACCAGGCTGTTGTCAAACTCACCTGCTTCTGCCTCCTGAGTGCTGGGACTAAAGGCATACATATTCACCACCCAGATGAGAGATTTTTCTTAATTGTGTGAATAGGCCCACCCTGAATTCTGAGCAGCACCATTTTAAGGGCTAGCTCCAGAATTAACTAGAAAGAAAAAAGCCAGCCAAACACAAATGTGCATGCATTGCTCATTACTTTCTTCTCTTGACTGAGAATTAATTCAACCGTTGCTCCAGGTCCCCTACACCCTGACTTCTCCACAGTGAGAGACCATGAGCTGGAACCATGACCAAACAAACCTTTTATCCCTTAAATTGCTTTTTGTCAAAGTAGTTTATCATAGCAGCAGAAAATGAAACTAAGGCACTAAGGCGCCAAATCGAGTATAAGACCAGAGTTCAGAACTCCATCACCCATGTAAACGCCTAAGTGAGTGCAGTAGTCCTCTGTAATCACAGAACACAGAAGGCTAAGGCAGGGAGCTGCTTAGCTGGACAAGGTGAATTGGTATGCTGTGAGTTCAAGAGGCCCTACAGCTATATATAAGGTAAAGACTGTCTGAGGATGACACTAATGTCTACATACACGCACCCACCTACACACAAACAGATCAAACACACAACAATCTCATTCCAACCATGAACAGAGATGAACAATGACATAGACTTCCCAACATCCATTCTTCCTTCCTTCAGAACAGGGGCAGTGGTGCAGTATAGAAACAGACATGCTTTCAAGTGAATCTATCTAGCTTGAGGGGAACTAAATTTCCTTTGTCAAGCATTTTGACCAATTTTATATACAAGAAGAGATTTGCTAGAAATGCCTAGGAAAAGCCTGCTTGCTGTTAAAAGAGAAAGTAAGCTGAGATCATGTTGTCCTGTCTGACATACCCCAGTGGTTCTTTAGCAGCTCTCCTACAACCAATAAAGGTACAAGTCTTCAAAGGAAGGTAGAGTACATCACAGAGAACAAAAAAGTTCATAAGGGCAGGAGAGATGGCTCAGAAGTTAAGAGCACTTCCTGCTTTACAGAAAACCAGATTCAGTTCCCAGTACCCACAACAATCAGCTCAGAAGTATGCATAACTCAATCTGATGCCCTCTTCTGGCCTCTGTGGGAAACAACATGGGCGTGCATGTACACACACACAAGCACAAACACAGAAATAAAAGCAAACTCTAAAAAAAAACACCAAAAAACAAAAACAAAACAATAAACCAGGAGCTAGTAAGACAGCTCAGTGCTTAAACGCCCACACTGCTCTTCCAGGAGGCCATGTTGGGTGCCTTACAAACTAGACTAGGAGATTTAACATTCTTCTGGCCTCCATGGGTACCTGTACTTAGATGTGCACACAGACACAATCAAAAACAAAATCTTGAAAAAAATTATTTTAAAGGTCATTAATGAGCTGGGTGTGGTGGTGTACGCCTTTAATACCGAAGTCCAGAGGCAGATGAATCTCGAGTTGAGGCCAGTCTTGCCTACAGAACAAGTTCCAGGACAGCCAGGACTACACTAAGAAACCCTGTCTCCAAAAACAAAAATAATTGCCAATTCAACAACTTTTAGTTTATACCTAGGCAGATATCTACCTAAACTGTTCAACCTGTTAGCAATATATAGCAATATATAATTAAAATGGGATGAAATAAAAAATTCGTTCCTCAAGTGCTTGGTAACTAACTGTGGTGATTTGATTAAGAATGGTCCCCATAGGCACATATGTTTGAAGGGATAGTCACCAGGAAGTAGCAGTGTTTGAAAGGATTAGAAGGTGTGGCCTTGTTAGAGGAAGTATGTCACTAAGGAGTGGGCTTTAAAGGTTCAAAAGCCCACACTAGACCCAGTATCTCTCTGCTTGTAATTAGGATGTAGCTCTCAGCTACTTCTCTTGACACCACACTGCCAGCCACCAATCTCTCTGCCATGATGACTCTTTAAGCAAGTCCCCAATTAAATGCTGTCCTTTATAAGAGTTGCCTTATCATGGTGTCTCTTCACAGCAATAGAAAAGTGACTAAGACAGAACCACACCACGTGTCACATTAAGGCCTATTATATCAAATGGCAACATGGTTATTGACAGCTAGTCTTCTCTTATTTATACCTCTCGAATATTACCTCCTTTCCAAGGTTTCCATGAATCTACTCTATTGTTGGCTTCCACGGTACTCTACCCTCTGGGGTCATTTCCTGTCTATATGAACTTGACTACCATTGAAATCAAGCATGATTCCAAGATTTGCCCTTCTCTTTTCCCTCCCTGAGCAATCTCATTGGTAACTTTATCAGTTATATATTGGTAAGTGAGTACCAAGTCCACCTCTACATATCCTTTTATCCATGTTTAGGGACCAAAACCAGAGACCTGTCTTCATGCTCAGCTTCTACTTGTTATTTACTGTTTTGTTAGTGCTGAAGATCAAGCTTCTTGCATGCTAGCCAAGTATGCTAATGAGCTGTATCTCCAGCCCTTCTTTTGCTTACTACTGTAGGACTTAAATCTTTATTCTGAGTCCTGGTTCCTTCATTTGTAAAACAGAGATAACAAAATTTACTTTGAAGCTATCAAGGTAATCATTCTAAAATATAAACTTCTTTATATCTGCTCAAACACCTTGGTCATGTTTTGGTTTTTGGTCGGCACTGTTTGCTTATTTTGGTTTCTGAAATGTAGCCCAGGGTGGCCTTAATCATCTTGCATCTCTCTCCCTGTGCTAAGATTACAAGTGAGCACCACTATGCCTAGCTTAAAAATCATTATTTCATCTTTATTTATGGTTGTACAAAATTCCACTATAATATGTTTGTTTTGTCTTTTCTTTTTTTCTTTTTCTTTTTTTTTTTTTTTTTTTCTCTTTCTTTTTTGATTTTTTTCCTGACAGGGTTTCTCTGTGTAACAGCCTCGGCTGTTCTGGAACTCACTCTGTAAACCAGGCTGGCCTCAAACTCACACGAGAGCCAACTTTGCCTCCTGAGTGCTGGGATTAAAAGTGGGCACCACTATCACCTGGCCCTTCTTTTTTTGTCTTTATCTACTTATAGACATCTAGGTTAGTCCCAGTTTCTGGCTATTGAGAATAATACATTACACTTTTTGTTATGAAATACAAAACAAGTACAGCCTTTTATATACAACAAATCTCAGGAATTGATATCATGGAAATTGCAAATAGACTTTTTTAAGATTTCACTTTATTATTTTAATTATGTGTGTGTATATGCGCATGTCTGTTTGAGTGCAGTGCCCACAGAGACCAGAGGTATTAGATTCCCCCTGAGCTGGAGTTACCAGTAGTTGTGAGCAGCCCAACATGGGTACTGGGAACTGAACTTGGAGGAGGGGGTCCTCTGGAAGAGCTTTTTAACAGGACCTCAGAACTTAATAGGTCCCCACACCTTAGCACAACTGACTCCATGATGGAAGTACCATTTTATTTATTGTTTGTTTGTTCATTTTTGGGGGCAGTGTCTATTTAATCTTGGCTGTTCTAGAACTCCACATGTAGGACAGACTGACTTCAAATTCCTGTTGTTCTTTCCCAAGTGCTAGGATTGAATGTATCTCAACATGTCCAGCCTACTGATTATGTTTGAATGTTTTGCCATGTGCATGCTTAATACCTGTAGAGGTAAAAGAGGGCACTGGATGCCCTGAACTGAAATTATAGATGGTTGTGAACCACCATGTGGGTGCTGAGAACTAAACACTCAGTAAGAACAACTGTTCTTAATTTCTGGGCCATCCAGCCAGCCACAAATAGGTTATTCTCATCCCAGCTTAAATATACCTAACTCAGGCCAGGTGTAGTGGCACATGCCTTTAAATTATGTGCATATGTGTCTCTGTAGGTTATGTGCATATAAGTGCCAGGATCCACAGAGGCCAAAGGTGTTAGATCCCCCTGGGGCTGGTAGTTGAGCTGTCAGCCATGGGTGCTGTGAACTTCATTCTGGCCCTCTGCAAGGGCAGTACACACTCTTAACAATAGGCTATCTCTTCAGCTAAGGCTCATCTTTTACAGATATTGATGTGAGCTGGGCATGGTGTTGCACGCCTTTAGTCAGAGCATTGGGGAGAGGGGCAGAAGCAAGCAGAGCTCCGTGAGTTCCAGGATGTTTATGAATTAGAGGCCAAACTGGTCTACACAGTGAGTTCTAGGCCAGCTAAGGACAAATAGGTAGACCTTGTCTCAAAATGAAAAATAAGAACAGGCCCAGCAGCACACGCCTATAATCCTAGCACTTGGGGAAGCAGAGGCAGTCATATCTCTGTGGGCAACATCCAATTTATGTAGTACTAGGGATCTTAACCAGGTCTACATGATAGATTATCTAGAGACTGAACAACATCCCTGACAAACACTTAAATGTAAATCTCAGTGCAAAGCAGAAGCATCTCAATTTTTTTTTGTTTTCAATTTTATTGTATGTCTATTTTGCCTATATACAAGCCTGTGTATCACAGGTGTGCCTGGTGCCTGAGGAGGTCTAACTAAAGAGGGTGTCTCCTGGAACTGTAGTTACAGATGGTTATAAGCCACCATATGGGTACTGGGAATCAAACCTGGATACTCTGCAAGAACACAGAGTGCTCTTGACCACTGTGCCATCTCTCCAGCCCACATATCTATTTTTTAAAGCTTCTCAGGGAGTCTGACAACCAAGTCTGAGAATCACTGTTTCTGAGCAGAAAAATAACTCCTGGAAAAAGGAACCCTGACTCATCTCTATGTGTGGGTGTGGAGATGTTGATCACATGCTTCGTATGTGTTTGTCAACAGACAGGGAAAACTCAAGGACCTAAAGGTCTTCCCATGTAAGATATAGGATACATACCCAAACAGTACGGCTTACCTCAATAGCATAGCAGAAGTCAGCACCTGCAGTAACTGCCATCATCGACAAGAGACCTGTGCCAGTGCCAATGTCAAGAACCAAGGCCTTCTGTCCTCTGTCTTTCACCCTACTCACAGCTGCCCGGATACCCTGGTAATATTTTATATTCTAAGAAAAAAGGGAAAATAACTGTCATGTCACATTTATTATAAATAAGTGAAAACAGAATTGGAGTCATGGTTGGCAGCAACAATTTAAGTCTGGACCCTATGTACTTTCCAGCCCCTAGATCATGAGCACTTACCAACTGAGCTAGACAGGTACTGCAAGACTCCAAGATCACTGACTCAGTCTCCTGCCCTGTACTAAATGATTCTCTGTGTGCCATACTCTTCTATTCTCTGTTGAAGAATGCTGGGGAAATTGCAAACCCCTGTCCTTTTTAGCTGCTAAGTATGTAAAGCCAATAAGGAAATTAAGAGGGTGAATGACAGGTAGGAGCAGAGAGAAAACATGTCCTTTCCGGAAGAGTTCTGATCAGGTTCCTTTCAGAAATGGCAGCTGGTTCCAGGCCATCTTCTCCCAGTACCCCACAACCAGCCTCCTCAGAATAGCACCCAAACCCAAACACATTCATCTCAGAAAGCACCAGCTCACAGACCTTCCTTGCCAACTTATGGAAGTTTTTGTCAGTCCTAAATCAGGGCTTTCTATTGACTTAGTTTGGTATGTTCCCATTAAATACTCAAACTTGGGTCCTCTGGAGTGTTCTTAACCACAGAGCCATCTCTCAGCCCCAATAAATATTTTTAAAATAGTTTCACACTATTTATTTGTCTGGGTTGGGGCATGTGTGGGCACACAATAGGGCATATGTGTACATCCAAATAGGATCTGCAGGAGTCAGTTCTCTCCTTCCACCATGTAAGGTCTAGGGACAAAACAGGGCTCAGGTTTGGAGACAAGTACCATTACCTACAACTCATCCTGCCAATTCAATGATAAAAAGGGGTTTTGGGTTTGGGGATTGGTTTTTGTTTGTTTGTTTGTTTGTCTGTTTTTAAGTTTAAAATACTACATGTTGACCTCACATACACTAGACAAGTGTACTACTGAGCTATATACCAGCCTCTAAAGTAGTAAGTGTTGACAAAAATTTGAAGAAACTAGAAACCTCATACATCAGTAATAGGAACATAAGATTATGCATGTACTCTAAAAAAATTTTCAACAATTTCTTCAAACTGTCAAACATATACTTATTAGGGGCTAGAACCATGGCTCATCAGTTAAGAGCACTTACTTTTGTAGAAGACCTGACTCAATTGTGATCCTTGGGTTGTCATATAGAGGAATAAGAGGAGCTCAATGCAAGTAAATGAGGGCTGAAGATGAGTAGAATTTGATGATAGATTATAGATTATAGGCTTACAAAAAGAGGGGTGGGCTATCTTTCTGGGTTAGCTGACTGAATGGGATGTCATTTGATCAACTTCTCTCTGAAGTAAGAAGGACCCTTTCTATATGGGTCATACTAAAATCAGAAAGTCTCATAAGCACAGACTCAATAATGAGATGAGAATGTTATGTTATTTGTCTACTCAAAAACCAGGACTGCTTTTTCCCAGATAGCTAAGCAAACACATTCAGATATTTGCTTAAAAATTAGATCTTTAGTATAGTCTGTACATCAAAGGTGCTCAAGAACATCCTTTTAAGGGGCTGAAGAGCTAGTTCAATGGTTAACAGCACTGGCTTCTCTTCCAGAGTACTCAGGTTCAATTCTCAGCACCCATATGACAGCTCACAACTGACTCTAATTCCAGTTCCAGGAGATCCAACATGCTCACACAGACATACACACAGGCAAAACACCAGTGCACATGGAATAAAAATAAAGTTAAAAAAAAAAAAAAAAAAAAAAAAAAAAGCATGTCCTTTTAAGGCTAAGGAGATGTCTCAACAATGAAGAGTACTTGCTAATCCCTCATTGGGTAGTTACAATACAACTCCAGCTCCAGTGATATAGCACCCTCTTCTGGCCTCTGAAATCACCTGCACAGAATATGCATCTATATACACCATACACACTAATAAAAATAAAATAAAATCACCAGGCATGGTGGTGTATGAGTTTAATCCCAGCACTGGAGAGGCAGAGACAGGCAGATATGAGTTGAGGTCAACTCAGTCTATACAGCGAGTTCCAGGCCAGCCAGTATTGCACAATGAGACTCTTGTGTTCAAAAAAAAAAAAAAAAAAACCCAAAAAACATAAAAACTAAGAATCTTGACTACAACATAGAGAACTGTAGCAGGCTTTCCTTTATCCAACAGTTGGAACACTATCTGCGTACAGCTTTGCTGCAAGTCTTTACCCATGGAGCATCTTGCTGGTGATTCTTTGCTATGAATTCAATGTGACCACCTGCACTCCTATCACCATAACTAACCCATCCTTTCTACGCCATAAGCTTTAACTATGAACCAGAATAAAACCTTTTGCCTTTAAGTGGCTTTTGTCTGGGTATTTTATCACAACAACAGGAAAGTAACTAAGACATTATCATTGTTTTTATTAACAGCATACAAAATAAAGGGTTTCAGAGCAGGGTGTGATAGTGTGGACTTTGTAATGCCAGCACTTGAGAAGCTAAGACCTGTGGTAGAATATTATTTTCAGGTATGTTACTTTTGTTTATGCTGCATTTGTTTAACTCTATGAAGCTGTGTTATTATACCTGTCTAAAACACCTTGTGGTCTCAATAAAGAGCTGAATGGCCAATAGCAAGGCAGGAGCAAGGATAGGCAGGGCTGGCAGGCAGAGAGTAAAAATAGGAGAACTGAATAGGAGAAAGCAATGAGGAAACAAAGAGAGGAGGACTTCAGGGGCCAGCCAGCCACGGAATAAGGAGGAAAGTAAGAAATACAGATGTAAGAAAGATAAAAGCCCAGAGGAAAAGGTAGATGGGTTAATTTAAGTTAAGAAAAGCTGGCTAGCAATAAGCCAAGCTAAGGTCAAGCACTCAAAACTAAGAATAAGCCTCTACGTATGAATTATTTGGGAGCTGGGTGGTAGGTCCCTCAAAAAGAAAGAGTTAAAAACATTTCAAACAATAAAGGCCAGAGGACTATCATGGATATGAGGCCAGCTAGGCTACATAGTAAGTTCATGGCCAGCATGGAATACATGTTAAAATATTACCTTTAAAAATAGGAGTGGAGGGCTGAAAAGATGGCTCAGTGGTTAAGAGCAGTGGCTGCTCTTTCAGAGGTCTTGAATTCAATTCCCAGCAACTACATGGTAGCTCAAAACCATCTATAGTGAAATCTGATAACTTCTTCTGGCATAAACTTGATAGAACACTCACACACATAAAATAAACAAATCTTAAACAAAACTGGGGTGGGAAATTCATTAAAACATTTTCGAGCCAGGTGGTGGTAGCACACACCTTTAATCCCAGCACTCAGGAGGCAGAGGCAGGCAGATCTCTGTGAGTTTGAGGCCAGCCTGGTCTACAGAGTGAGTTTCAAGACAGCCAGAACTGTAACACAGAAAGACCCTGTCTTGGAAAATAAAACAAACAAAAAACATTTTCATATATTAATGTACCTTGTTCACATCTGCTAGCGCCCAACACCAAAAAAAAAAAAAAAAAAAAAAAAAAAAAAAAAAACCCATTGTAAAATCACAACTAGACTGGTCCACAATCCAAACAAAGGTAAAAGAAAAACAAAACAAAAAAATGTGAAAAAGAAAACATGAAATGTAACTCTGCAATGATGGCCCAATGTACCTTACAATATGCTCTTAGGTACCGCCACAGATATGATTTTATGGACTCACAATTTTTACCTTCTATACCATATGCATTTTAAAACTGAGCAAGCAAGGTCAAAAGAGACTGCACATTTTTTTCTAGATTACAGATCAATGGCAGTCATCATCACCAATTTAATATACATCCCCCCCCAATGACATGCTATTCATTTAGTCTTAAAAATAAATCCTGTCATGTTGATAATACTGATGGACCTGTTAAGTGAAACAAGTAATAAGCAAGACACAGAAAGACAAGTATGTGTTGTGACTGGTATACAGAATCTAAACAAATTGAACTCAGAAGCAGAGCCAATGATAACTAATAGAAACCGAGAGGACACTGGTGAAAGGGCATAAAGTTTCTGTTACACAGGATGAGCAAGTTCGCTCAACATGGTGACTGCAGTCAAATAATGTATTACATATTCTATGAGAGTAGATTTTAAATGTTCTCAGATCAACACAAAGGAAAAATCTAAGTATGTAGATGACAGATGGTAAATAATTTCATTTAATCATTTCACAATGTGTTTATTCACGCAAGTGCAGTCAAGCACACCGAGTTAATACACTACATTATACCAATAAATATACAAGATGCTTAACTAACATGTATAAATGCATGTGCCTGCTTTCATGTGGGCCCATGTGGAAGCCAGAAGCTGAGTGTCTTCCTCTATCAAATTCCATGGTATCTGAGACAAGTCTCTCACTGAACTTCAAGTGACTGGCTCAGGTAGATAGGCTGACCAGCAAGCCCCACAGTCTACCTGTCTCTGTCACTCCTACTGGGTTAGAAACCCACTGAATTGCCCAGGTCTTACATGGGTGCTGGGGATTCAAATTCAGGTCCTCATGCTTACGGAACAAGTATTTTATCCACTGCACCATCCACCCAGCCCTTGTCAACTGCACCTTAATAAAGCTAAGAGGTAGAACAGCCAGAGGTAGAACCTAGCATCCTGAAAGGTTTTCTAACTATTATACCATACATCTCTCAGAATTACTGAATATCCAGATTCCTGAGTTTCTGACTTACAACCCAAAATTCCAAAGTCCATTATCAAGACTATGGCTTCCACCAGTCATGGTGGCACACACTATAATCCCAGCACTCAGAAGGCAGAGATAGCTAGATCTCTGTGAGTTCAAGGCTAGACTACTCTACAGAGTGAGTTCCAGGACAGGCTCCAAAGCTACACAGAGAAATCTTGTCTCAAAAAACAAAACAACAACAACAACAACAACAAAAAAAAAAAAAAAAAAAAAAAAAAAAAATCCCAGCACTCAAAAGCAAAGAACAGTAGCATCTCCAAGGTCAGCATGGGCTACATGGAAAGTTCCATACAGGGCCCTACAGTGAAACCCTGTGTAATATGATTTACTTTACACTTACTCTGTCTTTGTCGTGCAGCATATCTGCATAGGATGACCTTAAAAGATAAAAGAAAACAAAGGTAATCAAAAACCTTTGCTAATAAAAACATGCATGAATACATCAAAGAGTTCCCACAAATAAAAGCAGTCCTCAATTGGATGGAAAAAGTATGTCATCACTTTAAAATATTTTATTAGCCTGGTGTGGTAATTCAAGCATATAGTCTCAAGCATTTCAAGCCTGAAGAAAGAGAATGAGTTTAAGGCCAGCCTGGATTACACAGCAAAATGCAGTCTCAAAATATTATTTTTTTCTTAAACTGGGCATGGTATCACTTACCTTTACTCACAGGACTTGGGATGCAGAAGTGGGTTGATTTCTGTGAGTTTGAGACAACATGGCCTACATAGTAACATTTTGTCTCAAGTGAATAAATTATATTATTTTGGAGCAAGAAATAAATGCACCATGGCACATATGTAGAAGTCAAAGAACAATTTTGTGGAAGTCAGTGCTTTCCTTAAACCATGTGGATTGCAAGGATTTAGCTCAAGTCTTTAGGCTTGGCAGCACCTGTACCCACTGAGCCATCTTGTCAGCCCCCAAAATTTACTTTAGTATAATCAGTTACTATCATTCTCTGCTATTGAAAAAATAAATCATCTCAGAGCAGATACTCTTCTAAGGCCCCAAAATGCCCTAGTAGTTAACCTAGAGAAGTAATTTTAAGTGTTTATCTATGTGTGCATCTGGAGGCCAAAGGTCAATTGCAGGAATCAACTCTTTTCTTCCACCTTTATATGGACCCTGGGGATAGAATTCAGGTTGTTAGTGTTGGTGGTAAACACCTTTACCCTGCTGACCCATTTCACAGGCCCATCAGCTAGCCTATAACCATGAACATTCTGATCATATAACACTCAGTAATCCTAACACTTGACCTAACTTTGAATGATACTTGTACACTTTAGAACAACCCCATATATCCAACTAGGAAGAGGAACTGGGAAAGGGAGAGCATATAGCTGCTCTACATGTAAGGTTCATTAGGCTCATAAGTTCACATCACATCAGAGACGAAAGCAACAACCATATTTTAGATCATAATACATCAGGGTACAATAATAAGCTAAATATGGTGTGTAAAGGGAAGAAAATCAAATAGAAGAGATTTCATGAGAGGCTGAGGGCAGATGGGGATGGGAACATGTTGAGAGGGAGAGTGCTGAGGAGGACAGCTTGGAGAAGGGGGTGTGTGCATTTAAGGGTTGGGCAGACCTGCCACAAGGGAATCTCCTAGGAGTGTATGGGGAGGAACCCAGATTAGACTCCTAGAAACAGTAGACAAGTAGCCTGAATTAGCCAATGTCTATGACCAGATTGGCACCTGGCCCAATTGTCATCAGAGAGGCATCATCCAGGAACTAATGGAGGCAGATGCAGAGACAGCCAAACATTAGGCAAAGTTCAGAGGACAGTAAGAGCACAGGAAGGCTCACACAATCAATTAATTGGGTTCAAAGGGGCTTGTAGAGACTGAACTAACAACCAGAGAGCCTACACAAGACTGACCTAGGCACTCTGAGTATATGTTACAGTTGTATAACTTGGCCATCTTATGGGACTTCTAACAGTGGGAACAGGGTCTGTCTCTGACTTTTTACTGGCTTTTAGGACCCTATTCCTCATACTGGGTCATCTTGCCCAGCCTTAACACAAGGGGTGGTGCTTAGTCTTACTGCAAGTTGATATGCCATGTTTTATTAATATTCATAGGAGATGGAAGAGGAGGGGACTTGGGGGAAGGGACTGGAAGGGGAGGGCAAGGGGGAGTCTTCAGCCAGGATGTAAAATAAAAATGATTAAAAAAGAAGAAGGAAATCACATCCATATTTTCTATCACAGCAACTAAAAATTCTGGAAACTGGAGCCAGGGGTGGGCCTCAGTGGCATAAAAAATACCTAGCATCTAGCAGGTGTAAAGCCCTCAATTAGATCCCCAACACAACACAAATAGGAAAAAATAAAGAGAAGTAAAAAGCTGAAAACCCTGTGGCAGGGACAAGTGAATACCCAGGACTCAGGCCACAGCCCAAAGAGGCTTCCTGGGAATTCCAGGAGAAACTGAGGCACTCTTAGCAAAAGCGGCTTCCAGTTTTCTGCCAGCACGACTAGGAAAGCTTATCTGAAATGCAGATTTTTCTACATATACCAAGCCAAGTCAAGATGGAGTCTGGAGGCTGAGGCTGCACTTGAACCACTCCACTGCAGACAGTTTTAACAGTGGCTGTGTATGCTCTACACTTGGAGAACATTACACTGAAAGAATACTTTTCCCTCTGAGACACCTACAGTTCTTCCTATGCTTACTTTATTCTCCCCAAGCTTAGGAGGTGGCTGCGGTTGCCACTCAGTGATAGAATACTTACTTACCTAGTGTGCTTTAAATAAAGATGAGGCTATAATCCTAAGAATCCTCACTTCATTCTCCATCTACCCCACTGTGTTGGTTAGGGGTTTTTTTGTTTTGTTTTTTTGTCCCTCTTGGTTTTGAGACAGGTTCCCAACTATGTATCCCTGGCTGGCCTGGAACTTATACATAGACCAAGCTGTTCTTGAACATAAGGAGATACACCTGCCTCTACCTCAAAAGTGCTCTGCTTAAAGGCACCCACAACCACCAGTTTGTACTGTTGTTAACTGTCAACTTGATACAACTAGAAACACCTGAAAAGGAAATCTGAGCACTAGATCAAGTTGGCCTATGGGAGCTCTGTGGGACAAGTCTTGTCACAATTAGAATCACCTGAGAAGCTGCATTTGAAGAATTTCGTTAATCAATTCTAAGATAGGAGCTAGAGAGATGATTCCGGGGTTAAGAGCATTGGCAGCTCTTCCAGATAAGCTCAATTACCAGAAACCACATGGTGGCTTACAGCCATCTCTAATGGAATCTGATACCCTCTTCTGGCACGCAGGTGTATATGCAGAGAGTACCATCTACATAAAATAAATCTATAATTTTTTTAATTTAACTTAATTGTATTTGCATTGATAAGAAGGTGTCAGATCCCCTGAAAATTGAATTAGAGACAGTTGTTAGCTGCCATGTGGATGCTGGGAATTGATCTTGGGTCCTCTGGAAGAGCAGCCATTGCTCTTAACCTCTGAGATATTTTTAAAAAAGACAAAATATATATATTATCTATCCCTTTGATTCTGTTGCCTGAGTAAAACAAATTATAGTACCAGGAAGTGGTGCTGGAAAAAACAGAATTATAAGGATGAGTTTCTCAAGTGGGTTTATTGATGTCTAGAACAGGTTCTTCAGCTGAATGGAACCTACAGTCACTAAAAACTCCTTAGATAGCTGGGCATGGTGCACAGGTTTTATCCTAGCACTTTGGAGGCAGAAGCAGACACCATCTCTCAGTTGGAGACCAGACTGGCTTATAGAGCAAGTTCTAGGACAGCCAGGGCTACAAAAAGAAATCTGTCTTGGAAAAAAAAAGATTCCTCAGATAGTATGGAGAGCACTGAAAACCCATGGTATGCACTGATGGGAGATGTCATTCTGTATATGTTTCTCATACTGGTTAATAATAAAGCACTGTTGGCCAATAGGAAAGGAAGATAGGAGGGACTAGGAGACAAGGAGGAAATAGGAAGTAGTAAGGAGGGTCAAGATGGAGAGTCAGGAGAGAGCTGGACGCCAGCCGCCTCCCCGGTAAGAGAAGGCCATGTGAAGATACATAGAAATGGGTTAATAATTAAAGGCAGAGCTAGCCGATAAGTAACAAGTAACCGGGCCAACAGTATTGTATCAAATACAGAGTCTCTATGTGTTATTTGGGGCTGGCTTGGTGGCAGGACAAGACCAGCGGTGGCGGGCGGAAACACCATACACGTTACAAATGGCGCCCACGTGGTTAATAAGAACTTCCACTTAAAATTTAACAAAAGCTTAAAAAAGGGTTTTAGAAACAAAAGAACAGAGACAAGCAAGGTTTCTTGGTAAAAGCATTTTTCTCGGTTGTACTCTGCTTTGCTAGAGACAAGCAGATATTCGCGCGGCTCCTTTAAGGGAAGATTCCTGACTCAGCTTAAGCGGCAAAAAACCACACAGCTTTTAAATAACTCTGCTAACAATTTATTGGTGTGTATGAGAGATGGCAATGGCAGTGACCACATCTCCAAGCCGGCAGCATGCTTTCTGGGTGGCAGCGCAGACCAAGGCGGTGAGCACAGCTTTCCATTCTGGCGGTAAAAGTACCCACCACCATCTTTGGTAAACCGCGGCTGACACAGCTATGACTTTCATTTTAGCAATGTTGTTGTTTACCAGATAAAAGACTTGTAGCCAGACGAAGATAAAGATTTACAGTGAAGACAGATTCATATTAAGAAAAACCTCTAAAGGTTTACAGTGTGTTTTAAAATATACGTAGACATGAAAAAAATGGTTTTAAAGAGACAAAGAGGAACTGGGTGTTGTAGCACACGCCTTTAATCCCAGCACTCAGGAGACAGAGGCAAGCAGATCTCTGTGATTTGCAAAGTAAACCTGGTATGCAGAGCAAATTCCAGGACAGATAAGAGTTACACAGTGAAACCCTATGTCAAGAAATAAAAAATAAAAGTAAAATAAACAGAGTAATAATAAAGCCAGGTAAAGATGAAAAGCTCAGAGAGAATCTGGTTACTGTATGCTATAGTGTTGTCTCTGCATTGTTTGACTACTGAGAAAATAAGAACAACTGATAAAGGAAATGCTGCTGCATTAATTCAATTTATATATTTTAAAAATGCTTTGACTCAAACATTTAAGTTCAAGGACAAGTTACTGGGGAAAAGGATTTCTATTTTTGTTTCCACAGAAAATAAAAAGCTGTGGATTCCTTCCAGACTTATGTGGTTTGAGCAAGCCAGACCCCCCTGAAACAGAGTCGCTGGTGATCCAACATTCAAAACAGCTTGGACAAGGCAGTCTTGCAGACTACAGCCAGGATTTCTACATCTTCTCAGGATCCCCCATGACAGCGCCCCTGTCAGCAGGAAGTAGTTTGGAAAGAACGACGCCCAAATTCCCAAATATTGTTTATAAATGTTTGTTTTCATTTAAATGGACTTGGTTATAAATGGTTAATGATCATAGCCAATTCTTTTTAAAGGTAAAAAGGAATTATGGTATAGATATGAATACTTTGTTTTGGAATGGATTTTCATTTATTGATACAATTTAAGGTCAATGTTGTATATGTATATTTCTCTTCTTGTTTATGTATTGTGTTTATATAGCTCATTTAAAAATGTAATGTATAATTTAGTACAGATTTTAGATAGTTACCTATAATAGTCAAAACATAGCTAGGTGAGTTAGGTTTTCTAGATATGCAGATGTATTTGAGATAGATAGATATTCTTCAAATCTTTCAAAGACCTACAGAATATGGCATTTAAAATGGTTTAGGGTTTTTCTTGACAATGAGACATAATTGTTCCTGGCAACACCACCTGCGTCAGAAAGGAAGATGAAGATGGACATTGAAGAAACTCATTATGGAGTTTACTTCCAATATGGCAAGACTAGCCATTTGGACAAGATACTGCTCTTGTCTGGACTGTTTGACTTTATGCTGTATATACTGGACATGCAGGACCCACAGAAAAGTGACTGCTGATTCAAGATGGACATTGCTACAGAGATCCTGCTTCATGGAAGAGTCTTCGAGACAGTATGCAGGACACAGAGAAAAGTGACTGACAAACTGCCAATACAAGAAGACAGTTTAAAGTTTTCTGCTTTACTGGAGAGTCTGTCAGACACACTATGGCCTATGGGCTGAAGATGGAAGATTACAAAAGAACTTTGGGTGACCAGGCAATGAGTTGTCTCTGTCATTTCTAGAGCTTATATATTATCCTTCTGTGGTCTTTGAAGGAGTTGAAGACAGATAGTTATAGTTATAGTTTTCCTTAGTATTAAAGATAAGTTACTTTAGACACACAAAGATAGGATAGATGATGGAATATTTTCTTCAAATCTTGCTAAATGTTAATGGACTAAATAGTGTTAACTGTGATTATTTGATAACTGTTATGTGATATATTTTGCTCTGTTAAGGTTAAAACCCTTCATGTTATTTTAGACAGAAAAGAGGAGATGATGGGAGATGTCATTCTGTATATGTTTCTCATACTGGTTAATAATAAAGCACTGTTGGCCAATAGGAAAGGAAGATAGGAGGGACTAGGAGACAAGGAGGAAATAGGAAGTAGTAAGGAGGGTCAAGATGGAGAGTCAGGAGAGAGCTGGACGCCAGCCGCCTCCCCGGTAAGAGAAGGCCATGTGAAGATACATAGAAATGGGTTAATAATTAAAGGCAGAGCTAGCCGATAAGTAACAAGTAACCGGGCCAACAGTATTGTATCAAATACAGAGTCTCTATGTGTTATTTGGGGCTGGCTTGGTGGCGGGACAAGACTGGGCAGCAGGCGGAAAAAACAGTACTCGTTACAATGCACTATTTAAAGAATTTATCGAGAATTTGAGTCCTGATTCTCCTCTTGAAAGGTACAGGGAGTTTAGTGACTCTGTGTATGAAACCATTCAAACATCTGTGGAAAACTAAAAATAGTGGTGCTGGTTCATTCCTTTAAGCATCTTTGGACAAAGTTACAAAATACAAAAATGATTGGGTAATAAAATTGACTGGCTCCAGACACAGATAAACAATCTGAAGGTTGGTAAGTGTGCACTAGGAGAATCTTCTACATACACCACACCCAGATAAATCTAGTGAGCTTTAAAATAGTAACAACAGCTAAGCTACTTACACCTGAGATGCTGAAAACCGGTAGTTATCTGGTCCTTAAAGATGAGTGTTTCAAAGTTATAGTAGTCCCAGAATAGCTTTCACTCACTAGGGGACTATGACCGGTAGTTATTTAGTTCACAAGGCAGGGTGCCCCAGTAGTCCCAGTCTGGTACCTGGAGCCCAGAAAGTTGCTGCAGGGGGGGCTGGTTCCTATTCTACCCTGAAAGCTTAAAAACTCTGGTTCTGCTGTCAGAGAAGGAAGCCGCAAGAGCAGCAGTCCAAACTGACTCATTGTCAAGAGGGAAGGACAAGCAAGTAAATGGGAGGAACTTCCTTCTGAAACACCCTTTTTTCATCTGGGTGCTACCAGAGGTGCCACCCAAAATCAGGGTGGTATATAGGGAAAATTCTTCTGGTGCAGCTCCCTACTCAAGTGAGTCTAATTATGGCAAGTAAACATGAAAACCAACCATAACAAACACCCACCCAGTCCCATTTGCACTGTCTACGGGGAACTTTCATCAATTTCCACTTTCTTTTCCAGTGCTTCCTTTTTTTTAAAAAAATAAGCAACACTTTATTTCTGACACAAAAGCAGTATAATTTTACACTTGCTTTTTTTCATGTAATATATTGTGATGATCACTCTACCAGTAGAGGATAAAATGAAAGAACTTCATTTCTGTTTTCCCAGTTGCATTCTATTTTGCTATATAGATGCACAACAGGTTTGCCTAACAAAGTTGATAGACATTTATGTCATTTTCAATGTTTTGCTATTTCTAACTGTGATAAAACCAATCAAGCCAAGAATAAAGAAAAATACACTCATTGGGTGCTAATTAGGATATCAACCTAAGATAAATTAATGCATGTTTGAAAATATGCTGCCTACCCACTTTATATATTGTATGCACATTCACGTGTGTGCACAAGCACAAGTTTGTACAAGCATGTGGAAACTGGAGGGAAACTCTCCAACCATCCTCATCTATACTATGCACCTCCTCTGAGTCAGGGTCTCTCACCGGCCTAGTTCACCAATTAGAATAGATAAGCTGGTCAAGCAAGCCCCAAGGATTCTCCTGTCTCCACTTCCCTGGTGCTAAGATTACAATCAGGTGTCATCATGCCCACTTTGTTTTGTTTTTAATGTGAATTCTAGGGCTAGACAGATAATTCAGTAGTTAAGAGCACTTGCTGCTCTTTCAAATGACCTGGGTTTGATTCCCAGCACCCTAATGGTAGCTGACACCTGTCTAACTCTAGTACCTGGGAATCTGACACCCTCTTCTGACCTACGTGGGCACTGTACATATGTGGTACACAGACATATATTCAGACATACATATAACATAAAGATAAAATTAAGAGCCAGATGGAGTGATACTTACCTTTAACCCTAGCACTTGAGAAGCAGAGCCTGGCAGATCTCTATGAGTTCAAGGCCAGACTGGTCTACATACCAATGATATACATAGTAAGATCCTGTCTTAAAAATAAACTCTCAGGATTAGAGAGATGGCTCACCAGTTTAGAGCACTGGTTACTCTTCCAGAGGTCCTGAATTTAATTCCCAGCAACCACATGGTAGCTCACAACCATCTATAAAGGAATCCAATGCCCACTTCTGTCTGATGCTCTCTTTTGTCATGTAGGAATACATGCAAATAGAGCACTCACAAACATAAAATACATAAATATATAAATCTCATGAAATAAAATACAAAAACTAGTTATTTCATTTTTAATTATATAAGTATATTTGTGTGAAGATACATGTCCCTGTGAGTGCAAGTACCCACAGAGCCCAGAAGGGGAATCAGAGTTTCCAGAGCTAGCTACACCTTAACTGCTGAGCCATCTCTCCAGCTCCCTACCTTTCTTCCTTTCCTTTTTTCTTCCTTTTTCCTTTTTTGTTTGTTTGTTTTGAGACAGGGTTTCTCTGTGTAGCACTAGCTGGAACTAGCTCTGTAGGTCAGGCTGGCCTCAGACTTGCAAAAGTCCGCCTGCCTCCGCCTCCTGAGGGCTGGGATTAAAGGCCTGCACCACTAACACCCGGCCCCTGCCTACATTTTAAAAGATATGTTCACTCACTAGCTTCCTGGCTTTAACAGCCACTCACTTCTCACCACTCCACTGATATAACTCACCCCCACCACCACTGCTTCCTGCTGTTTGCTAATGGTCATTAGCACTCAGGACTTCTTAGCAGCCTGACCCTAACAGTTACTTCCTCTTTCCTTTTCTTTCCATCCTAACTTTCCTTCTGGTTCCACTTTCTGCCTCGTCAGCTAATACAGATTTTACTTTCCAGACCCTCCTTTGTTGAGATGCTACAACTTCTCTCAATTTCAACTTTCCCAAGTTCTACAAATCCTGACTCACAAGGCTCATGCTTCTTTCGACCTACTAGCATCATCTGAAATCTTAGAACCAAATGTCCAATACCATTCCCTCTAGAACACTGCCCATTCTTCCAGTGATTCTTTCCCTCAGAGAATGACGTCTCCATCTACCTAGCCACTCTAACCAGAAGACCTCTTGGTCCTTCTTGAACTTTGCCTCCCTTACTGCATACAGTGAGTCTCTGAACTCAGCTCCTCCAAGCTCATCTTCCCCTCACCTCCACTGTTGCCACTTCAGGGTTACAGTAACCACGCACTCCCCACACTGCTTTCAGCAACTGTTTTATTCTCCTAGGTAACATCAACTCCTCAGAAAACTGTGTCCAAAATGGAACTTCAAAACTAAATTAATGCCGCTGGGCCCTATCTACCTACAGCCAGCTGAGAAGCATCCCTTGTTACCTGGCAATTTCCTGATGATAATCATAGTGTTCATCCTCCTCCAGCCATTCCAGGGATCCTGTGGTTGGATTGGCACGACCGCAAAAGACCTTCATCTTGCCAACTAGCTCCTCAATGTTTGCAAAGAAATGTGGTCTTGTCAATTTTCTTCTTAGGAACAATCTGGATATCGAGAAACCTAATCAATTATAATGCCTGTGGTGAAGGGACAAGAAAACAAAAAAGGAGAAAAATCAAGAAACAGACAAAAATGTCAAAAATCACTTAAAATTTTTATTAATGACACAGGTCTTCAATCTCAGCTCTGGGGAAGAGAGTCAGGAGGATCTCTGTTTAAGTTCAAGGCCAGCATGGTCTACATGGGGAAGTTCTAGGTCAGCAAGAACTGCATAGTGATAGCCCATCTCAAAAAATATTAATCAGTATTTTAATATTTCCAGCAAGAGTCATCTCATTTTATATATAGTACATACCATCAAGAACTATAACCCAGGTGGTGGTGGCACACTACTTTAATCCCAGCACTCGGGAGGCAAAGGGAGATGTGAGTTCGAAGCCAGTGTGGTCAACCAAGTAAGTTGCAGGACAGGCACCAAAACTACACAGAGAAACCCTGTTTCAAATAATAATAAAATCAGGTGTGGTGAAGCACATGTCTACAGACTCAGCACTTAGGAGGCTGAGGTAAAGGATCTGAACTTTGATGTCAACCTGGGAAATTATCACAAAAATAAGAACAAAATACAACATGATCGTGCATATCTTTAATTCCAGAATTAGAAAGGGAAAGGCAGGAGGATCTTTATGAGTTCCATATTTGTCAGAACAAGAGTGAGAACCTGTCTTGAGAGAGAAAGGGAGAGGGAGAAAGGGAGAAAGAGGGAAAGAGAAACCCAAAATAAATAAATAATGCTGTCTGGAAATTTTGGCACTCTTCAGAAATTCCAACAGGATCAAAGTGCCTCACAAGTTAATCCGGGTCCAGCCCTCAGGTGAAGGCAAGTAAGGAGGTAAAGTGAGCAAAAGTGCCAGAGTGGTCTTTCCTCGGCATACTAGACACACTTATCTGTGGTGTTGCTAGGGTTTGAAACGCAAGGAGGGCCACTCCAGAGTTTTAATAGAAAGCTTGTCTACGTAGGGTACATTTACAGCACTACTGCGGGCCAATATTGTGAACTGAATGGTTTCCAATGACTCAGAACACTAAGAAAGCCATCCCGAATAAGAGAACGGCTGAACGGCTCGGGGACCGAAGCCTGGGTTTTCGTGGCTGAAGCGAGGTTGCCGGCACCAGACTTATGCCCCAGGCCCTGCTCTATGCTCAGTCGCATTTTGAGAAAGGACAATCACCCAAGCCGACTGCAGTGGCTGGGCAGACCAGGTCCTCCAGGGTGTTTCAACAACTCCACGTGGACTCTGGAAAAGTCCACAAGTATACCAGGAACCCGAACGTACACACGCCAGGGCCCTCAGCCAGAGCCCTAGAAATGAGTTTCGAAAGCTGGCTGCACCCAGGACCAGCCACGGCCCTACCTCCCCAGCACCGCCAACAGCTCACCCGCTGTGGGAAGCGCTCCACTCGCCGCCAAGGGTGCGGCCATTTTGCCTCACCCTCCACACGGGGGCGGGGCCTCCGTGCGTAGGCGTGACGTTCGACGCGGCGCGGCCCTCTGCACCCCGCGCCTTCCCACAGTGCTCCTCGGCAGTCGCTATGGAGGCCGGCAGGACTGCGGTGCTGCGCGTGAAGCGGAAGCGTAGCGCGGAGCCTGCAGAGGCTCTCGTGCTGGCCTGTAAACGCCTCCGGAGCGGCGAGGTCGAGTCGTGTGCTCAGGAGACGCCAGAGCGTCCGGATTCGGCGGCTGAGAGTAATGTCTTCCAGTTGGTTGCTACCGTGCGCTCCCAGGTATGAGGTGGGGGTGGACTCTGTGGAAGGGATCTTTGAACGCTGCCGAAACACAAACAGTCGCTGAGGCGGTCATTCTTTTCCTGTCGCCCCTCAGGAGGAGCCAATCCAGCAGCTTGTGCGGGCTGCCCTGCGCCCGTCCCGGAGCAGCCAGCTGCGTATCCGCCGCGATCTTCGGGCCTCAGTTCGCGAGGTTCGTAAAGAGGGCCGCTACAGAGTAGTCTCCAGCCACCGAGCCTCGGGGATCTCCAGTAGTTTGGAGCCACGCTGTGTGTCAGAAGATGTCGGGGATGCAGGCTTCCAGTTGTTGGACTTGGTCCACGAGGAGGGAGACCTAGAGGCGGCGGCCACAGACTGCTGCAGAGTGAGTAGTGGGTGTCGCTGCACAGCTCCCAAAGGCAGACAGGCATGCGCTCGAAACCTGAGGATGGATAATCCACTCTAAAAGATAGCCTTATTTTTACCTGTTTGGGTTTTTTGTTTGTTTGTTTGTTTGTTTGAGCTAGAGTTTTGCTGTGTAGCCCTAGTTGACAGATTACAGGCTATGTAGGCCAAGCAGGCCTCTGACACACAGCAGTCCTCCTGCTTCAGCTGCCCTAGAACTGGGGTTGCAGGGTGTGCCACCGACGCCCCTCAGTATTGGTTTTTTTCTCCTTTCCCCCAACCCCTTCTTAGTCTCTTTGTCAGTCAGTTGGTTGTGGTGGTGCACACCTTTGATCCTAGCAGTTTTGTGTGGCAGTGGCAGGTCGAGCTCTATGCGTTCCGGGCCTGCCAAGACTGCACAGTGAGACCTTGTCTCTAAAAGGGGAAAAAAATTTTTTTTTGGTGTGGTTGTCCAGGACTTTAATAGCAGCACAATAGAGGCAGAGGCATGAAGATCTCTTTGTGTTCAAGGACAGCCAGGGCTACACAGACCCTGTCTCAAAATAAATAAAATCTACTTTTGAAAAGTAGGTTTGAGCCTACTTAAAATATATACATTATATAAAATATATACATTATTATTTAGATATTATGTTAGACTTTTGTTGTCCTGACAAATGAAGGAATTTTTTTTTTGTAAGCTCACAACTTTAGAGGTTTGGTCCATGGTCAGCCTGCTCAATTGCTATGGATCTCTATTATAGCAGAATACTATGACAAGAGGAATATGTAGCAGAGCAATTATCCTATAAATGGCCCGCAAGCAGATTAAAAATTAAAGTTTGGCCATGGGGTAATGGCCCACGCCTTTAGTCCCAGCACTCAGAGGCAGAGGCAGGCAGATCTCAGCGAGTTTGAGGCCAGCCTGGTCTATAAAGTAAGTTCCAGGAAAATCAGGACTATTACAAAGAGAAACCCTGTCTCAAAAAATCTCTTTTGAAGTTTATGTTTTCACAATAATTATACTTCCAAGATTTAACTTAGATAAATAATTCAACAAAAGATAACTATGGCATTGACAAAAAGATACTGTTGATTTCATAAGTTATTGTGCCGTAAGTATACTTAGTTTTTGTTCGGGCCTTGCTTTGCACTGCTTAGGGGGCAAGTGTTCATCCACCAAACTAAATCCCTAACACTGTATTTTCCTTTAATTTGTTTAATCTTCACAAATACTATGAATTAGGTACTTTAATCACCATTTTGTTTTTACTTTTTCAAAAAAATTTTTATTAGCATTTATTGACTAATCAAAATAGTAGGTTTCCTTAGGACATTAGTTTGTGAAGACATTACCACATTAGATCATTGGTTCTTAACCTTCCTAATACAGTTCCTCATGTGACCCTCCCAACTATAAAATTATTTCATTGCACCAGGCAGTGGTAGCACATGCCTTTAATCTCAATACTCAGGAGGCAAAGGCAGGCCTGATCTACAGAGCTAGTTCCAGGACAGCCAGGGTTACACAGTGAAACCCTGTCTCTGGAAAAAAGAAAAAAGAAATCGTTACTTCATAACTGTAATTTTGTTAGTTACGAATTGTAATGTAAATATCTGATATGCAGGATATCTGATATGCCATCCCCAAAGAGCCACAACCCACAAATGGAGAACACTGACTTAAGAGGCAAAACAGCTGTGAAAGAAGGCATGGTAAAATTGTATGTAGTATGTATTCCATAGTTACAGGTGACTAAGCTTTGTGTTACTCTAAAGAAACAGAATCTAGTATTGCAGGTAACCATTTGTGTGTTTATTTTTTGTAGGAAAGGCAATTTGTACCTATAGTCAGTGGACCAGAACAGATTCCTTTCCTTTTATTGGTTGATTGACATGCAACCCTCAGATAGTGTTAAGTGTTGGTGCTTTTCAGGGTAATCTCTACTTTTAAATTGGAATGGTAGTGAAATTAGGTAAGGACTTGTTTCCCCCAGGATTATCACCATTTTTCAAATGCAAAAATGACATACTCATTGTGATGCTGCTTATAGATATACTTGGGGCTATAGAGATGGCACAATAGTTTACTTGATGTTTCATCATGAGGACCTGTATCTGGTTCCCAGCACCTACATAAGACACCTGTTACTCCAGTTCATGTGGATCCAATACCTTCTGGAATCTAGGCACAGTGTACAAGCAGTATACATATGACAAGCAGGCATATGCGTAAAAATGTTAATGGAACAGACATACACAATGATTTGAAGTAATAAGATTGATAACCCTAAAGATTTGCAACATGGGAAGTATGTGTTTAACAACAGAACATGAAACTGAAAATATGAGGACAAATATGTAGACAATAAAAATAATTTTTCTGAGGACTGGTGCAAGTGTTCAACAGGTAAGGGTACAACCTGAGTTGAATCTCTGGGACCCATATGTGCATCATGGCATGTACACCCAGGTAGTACTATCCTAGTTTCCTTTCTGTTGCTGTGATACACTTTGAACAAAAGTAACAGGGTAGTAAAGGGTTTAGGAACTTGAAGCAGAAACCATGCAAAATGCTTCTTTTGTTGTTGTTTTGGGTTTTTTTGAGGGAAGGTCTCACTATGTAGTTTTGGATGTCCTAGAACTCAGTGTGTAGACCAGGCTGGTCTTAAACTTAGAGATCTGTCTGCCTCTGCCCATTTGTGCTGGGACTGAAGGGGTGTATACCACTATACCATGCTGGAAAATGTTTCCTGGTATCTTACTCTCTAGGGCTTATGCTTAGCTTTTTTTTGTAGCCCAAGACCACCCGCTCAGGAAATGGTACAACATAGTCTGTGCCCGTCTATAATTAACAAGTTAATCACCCACAGACAAAGCCACTGGTCAATCTATACAATCCCTCAATTGAGATTCTCTTCTTGTGACTCAAGACTATTTGAGGTTGATGGTTAAAGCTAACTAGGACACACACAATTGCAATAAAGAAAATTTTTCTCCAAAGTATAGTGGCTTAATGCCTATAATCCTAGCGTTTAGGAAACTGAAGCAAGATTTCCAAGTATTTGATGCCAGTCTGGGCTACATAGTTCAGACAAGTAACAAAAGTTACAAGAGCAATGTCTGTTCATGAAAAACCACAGCAACCTAAAAGTAAACTAGGAATTAGGAATACTGATCAGAGATAAAGCATTTTATCTAGCTTGTATAAGGCCTTCAATTCAAATTTCAACACTGGAAAAAGAAATCAGTTTACCCACAACCCAAACTAGCGGGAAGTTGGTTAATTTATTCTGAATATAAAATTGTTTGGCACTTTTGTTGGTCTTAGAAATTTATTGACTATGTAATTTAATGGTCTGGGTGGGGATCTATGAGTTGGAGTGTTGATGAGCTGGGGGTTAACAGCACTCATTGCTCTTGCAGAGTACTTAAGGTCAATTCCCCACACCCACATGGCAGCTTACCACCATTTGTAACTTGGGTAGCAGGAAATCCAGCACTCTCTTTTGACCTCTGAAGGCTCCACACATACATGTGGTGCACATACATACATATAGGCAAAGCACTCATACGCTTAAAACAAAAGCAAAAAAACTTTGAGGAGGAGCAAAAGCCTGCACAAAACTTGTACCAATTCTTTTGTGACTTTAGACCAAGGGAACATTCGCCTTGTGCTTTGGTTGTAGAACATTCCTATTTATGTATGGTAGCTGGTTTGAGCTATGTAGCTTTCCGAGATAAAGCTGTTTAGCAAGGCCAGCCATCTGCAGCATTTCCCTGCAGCTTCACACTGACCCAAGGACCCTGTAGTTGTTGGAGAACATCTTTAACCTGGGCTACTTAAGTGTTTTCTAGCTCTTCCTTCTCCCCCCCCCCCAGTGGTTAAAAGCTTTATATAATAAAGTTATATAGTTCATGCATAAATGTGTTAAAAATGGTTCCAAAACCTTTATCCAAAAGCAGAGAACAAGTAAACAGAGAAGAAAAAAACATTAGTAAGTTAAATAAACAATATGTAAACTAACAAAGCAGCATAACTTAAAAATAAATGCAATGTTTTACATAAATTAAAAATATTATGATAATGAAAACCTAAACTATCAAGTTAGGAGAAAATATTTCAAAATCACATACCTAAAAACATATTTACAATCAATACCTACCCCAGAATTAGATTCTTACCAAGTCAGTTAAAAAAAAGAAAAAAATATGGAATAGAAATTTAATATTGAAAGTTTTTCCTAAACACATTTGAGCATATAATCATATTTGTTTCATGAGCATTTACTAAGAGCTCTTCCTTCTTGCAGAGAGATTATAGGTGACTCTAGTTTTTTGGTGGTGGTGGTGATGGGTTTTTGTTTTGTTTTTTAGGTTTTTTTGGTTGGTTGGTTTTGTTGGTTTTAAGACAGGTTTTCTCTGTATAACCATCCTAGCTGTTCTGGAACTCACTCTGTAGACCAGGCTGTCCTTGAATGCACAGAAATCCCCCTGCCTCTGCCTCTGAAACTAAAAGCATGCGCCACCACTGTCAGGCCTAGTTTTCATTAATTTTAGGATATTGGTCAGTTAAGACGAGCCAGGTTTTAGTAGGCTTTACCAGGAAACCTATGTGGGCCTATGGATCCCCAAGGAAGAACATAATAGCAAAGAGACCTATAGAAGCAGGTAGAAAAAGACTAGGCATGTGCCGGGATAATGGTGCACTCCTAGTACTTGGTAAGCAGAGGCCTTCCTGGTTGAGGTCTCTGCATAATAAAACCCTATCTCAAAACAAAACAAAAAGCATCTTGAACACAGCATGGAAAACAATAACAGGCCTTCATTTGCTCAATCTTTAGAACATTATTTGAATCTTATTGCTGTTTTCTTTGTAGACATCTGATCCAGATGTGATCCTCTGCAATTCTGTAGAGTTGATCCGTGAGAGGTTGACTGTATCTGAAGATGGACCACAAGTGGAGCACCAGAAGGAATCAAAGCACAATGATGACTACGTATATGACATTTACTATATGGAGATGGCCCCTCCAGGATGGATTGAGAACATCCTCTCTGTGCAGCCCTACAGCCAGGGAGTGGGAGCTGGTAAGGGGTCCAAGAGGAGAAGGATATGTATCAGTATACTTTGACTTCCTAGACTCTACTCAGTTTTGCTTTTGTTTGTTCTTAAATTTTAAAATTAATTTTGTTTAGGGTGTATACCATTGTACATGTATGGAAGTCAGAGGACAACTTGTTCTTTCAACCATGTTGGCTCCTGGGATCAAACGTAGATCATCAGGCTTGGTGGCAAACACCTTTCACTAAGTCATCTTGCTATTCTCTTTTGTTGAGACAGGGTCTCATGTAGCCCAGGCTGACCTCAAACTTACTGTGTACTTAATAAATTTCCTTTTATCTCCAAAACACAAATGCTGGGATTATAGACTTGTGCCGCCACTCCTGGCTTCTTCACCACCACCACCCCTTAAAAAGTATGGAGGGGCTATATGTGTGTGAATGTATGTTCCTGTTTGTTGGAGCACATGGAGGCCCAAAGTTAACAGTGAGTGTCTTCCTTGAAGCAGGGTCTCTCACAGAAACCAGAGCTCTCCAATCCATCTAAACTAACAAGACAGCTTGTTGCAGAGATTCTTATCTCTGCCTCCCATGTACTTACTGGGGTCTCAGGCAAGCTACCCAACCCACCCAGCTTTATATTAAGTTCTGGATATCTAAACTCTGGTAGTTAAGCTTGTACAAGTATTTTACCCACTAAGTCATCTTCTAGTCCCTTATTTTTCTGAAACAGTATCGCTATGTAGTCCAGGTAGGCTTGAACATTGGCAGTTTAAATTGCCTCAGTTTACCCAATATTGGAATTACAAATATATAAGACATCTGGCTATGGACTATACGCTTGATGTTTTGGTTTGTCTTTTTTTGGTTTGGTTTGTTTTGGTTTCTTTTTTGTTTTTTGACTTTTCAAGACAGCTTTAAGTAACAGCAGCTCTGGCTGTCCTAGAACTCACTCTGTAGATCAAGCTAGCCTTGAACTCACAGAGATCAACCTGCTTCCTGGATTCCACTCTTTGCTTTTTTTCAAGACAGGGTTTCTCTGTGGTTTTAGAGGCTGGTCTCAAACTCACAGAGATTTGCCTCCTGAGTGCTGGGATCAAATTTTATTTTAAATGTATTTAATGTACTTTGGGGTTTTGTCTGCATATATGTCTGTATGAAAGTGTCAGGTCACCTGGAACAGTAGTTACAGATAGTCATAAGATGCCATGTGAGTGCTGGGAATTGAAGCCAGGTCCTTTGGAAGAGTAACCAGTTCTCTTAACCACTGAGCCATCTTCTCCAGCTCCTGGATTCCACTCTTAATAAACACTGTTCTAGTTCTTGATGGTTTTTAAAAAGGACCTAGGTTCAATTCCCAATTGTCAAACCAGACATTAACATGAGCAAAACAAAACAAAAAAACAAACAAACAAACAAACAAAAAATTTGCTGGGCGATAGTGTTGAGAATCCCAGCACTTGGAACACAGAGGCAGGTGGTTATCTGTGATTTCAAGGCCAGCCTGGTCTACAGTGCTAGTTCCAGGACAGCCACAGCTACACAGAAACCCTATCTTGAGAACACCAAAAAGAAAAAGTTTTTTTAAAATGTATGTGTATGAAGTGTGTATGTCTGGGTATATGTGCATATATCTGTGGGTGCTCTTGCAAATAGGACCTACCATGGACCACTATATGGTCTCTAATCAAGCCTTCCTGTACCATTTACTTTGAGGTTTGTATATTTTTGGTTGTGAGCCTAGCCTTTAATGACTGAGCCATCTCTCCAGCCCTGTTTTGAGGTTTTTGATCCTGATCTTTGGCATTACGCAGTCATAAAATCCCTCTCCCACCTGACAGTCCTTCGGAAATCTTAATATGGATGCCACTGCCTGCTCTAATGACATTGGAATGTGATATCTATGACTAGATTCTTGAGTAGAGTTAAGATTACATAGTCTCTTGTAAAGCACAGTCACACAAACTCCTAATCTGCCATTTTTACATTACACCTTTACTTGAATCTCCCCTTGTACCAGCAGCTTCTCCTAAAGAGCATAACTTAGAGGTTTTGGACTTAAACTCGTGTTTATGTTGAGATGTTCAGGTGAATGATGATCAGCAACCAGAAGATACATATGAAGATGAAGATGATGAAAACAGTGAAAATAATTGGCGCAATGAGTACCCAGATGAAGAAAGCAGTGATGGAGATGGAGATTCTAGAGGTGGGTAGCAACCCAGATGGGCAAGGACTGGTAGAAGTCATGATTGAAGTGAAGATGTAATTAACTAATGGGTGTGATGCGAATGGCTGGCTTTCCCCTCTTTCCAGGGGAACTATTGGGATATCTTATCAGCCAGGCCTAGGTTCTAATCCTGAGTTGTTACTGCCTATGTATAAGAAGTTATTTCACTTCTTTGAATATCATTTTCTCTCTAAAAATGAGACAATATTGGGTCAACTTTAGCATTTGGTAAAATGTGTAGCCCATTCTTTCCCTACTCCCATCAAGCAAGAAAGTATTACCAGGGTTGGAAAAATGTTCAATGGCTAAGAGTACTAGCTCTGGGTTCTCTTCCTAGTACTAATATGGCAGCTTACAGCCATCAATTCCATTCTTCCATCTTCTGACCTTAGTGGGCACCAGCCCTACACAGGATGCTCATATATACATTCTGGAAAAACAATGAAATACATTAAAAAAATAAATAAGAAAACTGGGTGTGGTAACACATGCATTTAATTCCAGCACTTGAGAGACAGGCCGGTAGATGTGAGTTCAAGGCCAGTCTGGTCTACAAAGTGAGTTCCAAGGCATCCAGAGCTAGAGGGAAACCCTTTTGGGGGTGAGAGAGGAGGGTATTAACATATCAGCCAGCAAGTTTGGCAACATGAAGTGGATCTCTAGAACCCTTGCTGTGGAAGGACAACTAACTTCCATAAATTGTCATCTGACCACCACACATGTACAGTCACACACAAATTTATATATATTGGCTTGAGCAAGTATTTTATAATGAATAAAATCCTTATCTCCTTTTAGACTCTAATGAATACAACAGCCTCAGTGAGGAGGAAAGAGGCAGCAGACAGTTGGTGTGGAGCAAGTACCCTTTGGATGTACAGAAGGAGTTTGGCTATGATAACCCCCATGATCTGGATTCAGATTGATGGTCTGGTGAGATTTTTCCAAAAGCCCTTGAGAGCTCTGTGACTGCAGTGCCATCATCTTAGGATGTCTAACTGAACATGTAGAAAGAAAAGCTATACCCAAGCACAGTGAAGACTTAACTGAGGGCTCTTCTACTTATATGTGACAAGTGAAGCCAAGCATGCTGGCTCAGGCCTGTAATTTCCAGCATTCAAGAATCTGGAAGCAAAAGGAGAACTGAAAATGCAAGGCTGGCCGAGATTACATAAAAGTTCTAGGCCAACCTGGGCAAAAGAATAAGATTCTATTTTTTAAAAAGCAAGTGATCCTACAGTCTGAAAATAAAATTATGTAAAACCTCCAGCCCAGGTGGTTTTCTGTTATTTTCTTCTATGCTCAAGTCTAAAGGAGTTGGAGGAAGCTCCTGTTTCATTGGCAGTATAATCTACCTTCCCAACTGGAGTGCCTGCCTCCAGTGAAACCTGGCTTCTTCGATGGAGGTCATCTCTACCATGGCAACAGTGGCTCCCCTGCCTGATTTATAGGAAGTACCATCCCCTTTGGACTCTGATAATGGTTGTAAAGACTGCTCTCATGTTTTGGCAGTGGTGCCAAGGAACAGTAAGTATTATGTGATACTATTAATAAAAACAAACTTTTACACAGAAGCAATTCCCCACCCCCACCCCCAGACATGGTTTCTCTGTAGCTTGTAGCCTGTCCTGAAAACTCAGCCTGTCCTGAAAAGTCATTCTGTAGACCACGCTGGCCTCAAACTCACAGATATCTGCCTGCTTCTGCCTCCATAGTGCAGGAATTACTGAACCATACCTCTCAGCTACAAGCAATGCTTTTAAACCCTTTCAATCCGATTATCACTGGTGTTTTCCCCCACAGAAAATGGAGAGGTTAGTGAGGCAGACATTTCATAATTAACTTTATATACTATGGACTAAGTTAACTTTTTATAGCACTGACTTGTTTTAGTTACAGTTGTCCCTCAGTATACTGTGGCCAACTGGTTCCAGAACTACCAAAATCCACCATATATCTGAGTCCCTTACATAAAATGATAGTGTTTGCACATAATCTGTCTTCAGATTATAAAACTCTAATGTAAATGCTAAATTGTACCACTGTTCTTAGTAGAACAAGATTAAATATTACAGAGTTAGAGGTAGGCACATTTCCCCAAAATTATTTTTTAAAATCTATCTAGCATCAATAGGAGGACCATTTTAGTTACCAGAACTCTTAAAGGCATTTTCTAAATCTCAGCTACCATAGACCTAGTTATTATATTGACCAACAGAACATACCACAGCATGTTCTATATATGCACTGTGCAATTGTATGGCCACTGAGCACTGGAAATATGATTATGCAAGTGAGAAACGCCAGGATTTTTTTTTTTTTTTTTTTTTTTTTTTTTAGGTGACAGTCTCTTAGCCCTGGTTATCCTGGAAGTCAGTGTAGATGAGGATGGCCTTGAACCAGAAGAGATCCTCCTGCCTCTACCTCCCTAGTGCTGGGATTAAAGGTATGAGCCACCAACCCCCAACTGACTTTTTTTTTTTTTTTAACTATAACTTGCAATCTTGCCTTAGTCTTCCAAGTACTACTAGTATTACAGGTGCAAGCTATTAAATTGTTTAGATTTCATTTTAACTTAGCTACATATGGCTAGTAATTACTGTAGTAGAAACTATAGGTCAAGCAAATGTCCTCTTGTCCTGAGATAGCTGATCCATGGGAAAGTGAATTACCTTTTTCCCCACTATTTACAAGTTCATAAGCCTCTCATTCTTTTACTGTCTATCAGCCTTTACTCATGATAGATCCTACTTACGAGGAGTTATTAAGCTTGTCAAATTGATCTAATTGTGTACTCCTATTTATTGCAACTAATAAAACTATCCCTGTTTATTCTGAGTATCAATAAAACAATTCTGCAAGAATAGGTAGCAATATTCTATCTAACACAAGTCATCTTGATATGTAGGCATACTAGCTAGACTAAAATCCTCTTTGCCACTACAGCGTGCTCACTGCTGTGTGTGTGTTCATTAAGTTTTGCTAACATTAAAGGGCCCAACAATTTCAGACTATAATTCATACAAAAGGAACAAACCACTACTCATTGTAAATGGATTAGTACTTCAGGAGGTAGATTCAAAGAGAAAAGACCTAGTGGGAAGAATTCCGTCATGAAACTTGAGTACTGCAAGAAGTCTGGCTTCTTTCCCATACAGTGTTCCTGGGAGAAGCTGTGTTGAGCTTAATAGGAAAAAATGGTGTCTAGTCCAGTGATAACTTGGCTCACTAAGCAAGTATTAGAGCACCTTAAATGTGAGGTCCCTCCTCTAAGAAACCACTGGAGGGCAGCAAATTCCTGGGATTGGCTAGTTAAGGACCAGGGTCACTCTTTAAAAATTTAGCTCCAGAAGAGCCTTAAAATGGGTACCAGTTTGGCTCAGACACAATCATGTTTGTATGGTTTGGGCAAGTCAGTCTTTGCACCTTATCATCAGGCAGAAATTTACAAATCCCTAACCCATGGCAGGCAGTAAGAATGTCACCCACAAGCTCTCAAGGATGCATTCCCATGACCAAAAGCAACTGTGATCACACTCCTCTAAGTCTTTATTGAGCAAACATATATCCGAGGTTATTCCCTTAAAACTAGGACCAGTTTGGTAAATAAAAAGAATCCGAAGTTGAGAATGCCTCAAGTTACCTTTATGATTCACGAATTCTAAAACTTAAAGATGAGATGTCCATAGGGAATGCCAAGACAACAGGTTCTTCTGTGTACAGGATGACAGTGTCCTAAGGGCATCCCAGAACAGTTGTGTAATCCAATGTAGAAATATTGCCCACAAACATCCAAACCTGGGTTTTGGTCTCAATTGGCAGCCTAGCCCAATCACCAAAATTAGCTGTTTCCATCCTTTCCCAGGAGCCAGATTAAGGTTGAAGCTATTTTCTCCTACAGTCTTCATTGATCTTCACAGGGAGAAAATAACAGATGTACAAATACCACGTCAAGTATTTTCTGGGATTTCAATCTCACCAGCTCTTGGATAAGAGAAGGCAAACAGGTATACTATCACATAACCCAAAATGGTTCAGAGTGTGGACAAAGCCTGATGCCAATGTGGTTTTCAGAAAGTTAACAACCCTTTCCAGTACCAGAGTGGGTTTGCATGAGTCTACACAGGGAAGCCACACAAGCTAGTTCATGACTTGAATCCATGACAACTGGTGGATCAGGTAATCTACCTGATTTACAAAACATTCCAGGCCTCTTACATTTCATAACAGAAATCCAGAGATTTACTTTCTATCAACTAGAACAAAGGCCAAAGGTCTTACTAAAACAAAGAATTAGCTGGGCAGTGGTGGCACATGCCTTTAATCCCAGCACTGGGGAGACAGAGGCAGACGGATCTCTGTGAGTTCAAGAGGAGCCTGGTCTACAGAGCTAGTTCAGGCAGCCTCCAAAGTCACAGAGAAACCCTGTCTTGAAAAAAACAAACTACCAAAGGATTATCCTTAAAAATAACTACCAGACTTCTTCTGGCTCACGCAGTTGCTCATCAGTCCTTGTTGGAGCTGAGCCAGATGATAGTAACATGTGACTTGTCTACATACATATGTCTTTAAATGTCCATTGTTTTTGTTCTTGATACAGGTTCTTACTCTATAAACTCAGATAATATGGTACTCACTATGCACCCCAGACTAGCTTTGAACTTTCAGCAAATCCCCTTCCTTAGCTTATTGAATGCTAGGATCACAACCATGCCCAGCTCTAAAAATCCTTTAACTTAACCTTCATAGATAATGCTCAACAGATTATGTGAAACATGTCAGATTTTGACTTATTATCACATTGCAACATCTCTGACAAAAAGGAAATATTGTTTTGAGAACTTGGACTTTGTTTTTTGTTTTAAAGACAGGATTTACTATGTAGCCTAAACTAGCCTCAAATTCAGATCCTGCATCACCATGCCAAGTGCTCAGTTTACAGGTGTCTATTACCACACCAGCTAAGGTACTTTTTTTTCAAACAACATTTATTGCAGCATCCTGTGGACAAATAATCACTAATGGTTTGCTACGATTGGAGTCCTGAATTAAATAGCAATAAATAATGAAAAAATACAGGAGTTGGGATTTAGTGACAGTAGTGGCTTGCCCAGGTAGTAGAGAGATGCTCCCACTCAGCTGGAGAATGAGGTTTTCTTTCAGCCCTTGTTTCAAGGGCTCCACTGCACCATAACTTCAGCTAGGAAGGAGGCAATCTAGTAGCCAAAATAATTTCTTTATGAGCCAGAAGCTCATCTCCTTGCTCAAGGATTTTAACCATAGTGTTAAAATTATCTGAGCAAAGTCAGTCAGACAGGCAGCACCTCCTCAAGAGGATAGACATGCTGTATATAATGAGATCCTGAGGATTTCCCAACATTCAGACCCACAATTGGAAAGTCCTCAAGAGGGAGGACTTTCATGCCCACACCCTGAAGAGTCGGTCTTCCTCCCACCAATCTTATTCTTTGCTTGAACATGAAGTTCCAGGGCAGGGAGTGATGTTCCTCTTGTGGAATTCAGGAATGGGGGCACACATTTGATCCCATATCAGTTAAAACCTTGCTGTTCATGCTACCCAGCAAACAAAAAAAAAAAAAAAAAAAAAAAAAAAAAAAAAATGGGTGGGGGGATGACACAATGTTTTTTTCCCTAAGGAAGAATTTTGAGCCACAGAAAAGACATGGCAGCATTTCAGGCCTCTAAAAATCAAGTAGCTGGACTTGGTCAGAGAAAAATTTCCCATGAAGGAGCCCCACTGTAAAGACTCCTGGTTTATCTGTGAACCATGAGCCATAGCTGTCAACTTAAAATTCTTACCTCTCTGCCCACTACAATGTACCAAGAGGGTGGTCTGTACCTATCCACCAGAAGAAGAAAATCAAAATCAATCAATCCCTTGCCCCAACCTCCCCTCCCACTGAAGTCCCGTCTTCAGGCTGGTCTGATCAGTATCTTCCATAGCTTACCAATGAGAGAGCATTGGCCCTGAGCCCCCTACAGAATGTGGGCCAAGAGGCTCCTTTCATTGAGAAGGGTTAGGTAACTGGTCTTTGATGGCTGTGGTCACAGCCTCCGGGCTTCAGGGAATGTCATCTCTGGCTTCTAGTCAGTTTTCTTTCCTCTCAACATTTTTCTCTTCATCTACATCTAGCTCAGTCAAGACGCAAAAAACAAAGCTTCTGGGTTAATCTGGTGACCGTAGCTAAAGGAAAATAAGAAGCACAGGATTTAGCAAACATATTTTGTTACAGTTCCAGTCTGAATAC